TGGCAAGGCAYGCAGGGGGCCCCAGACTTGTAATGTGACCTTCAGTTGATTTTCAATGACATCTCACTTTTATTGTTCAAGAATTAGTACTGGAGTAATGGAAATAGTGTTGAGAAGAAAAGGGGATGTAGCTGTGGCTTGTAGCTAAGAGTACTGATAAAAAACACTGATTCATATTGATCACATTTCAACTTATCAACTTAACAAACAGTCTTAAATGTGTGTGTTTGTATTCTCTTTTTCTAACCCCTTAGAACGCAAGGAAGAACGCCAAACCGAAAAGTGACAGATTATTACCCAGTTAGAAGAAGTTCCAGGAAAAGCAAATCTGAATTGGAGGTAGTGCTTCTTGTTAAGTGACATTACTTATAATGTGTCARTGGTTAGCTGAAGATTTGGGGAAGTGTGTAACTATCTTTAAATAGTTTCCATTCCAAATACAAATAACATTGTGCTCTTGAAGTATTGTTAAAAGCATGCTTAAAATTTGGAAATGCTGGTCCAGTTTAGAACWGGATCTAGCTGCTTATATATTTTGGGGGGCAGAAATCTGTCTTTCTGCCAGTTTGCTGCAAATATGAGCTGGTTTAAAACAATGATTGTCACTAGTTGGTAATTTTCTTCCAGCTCTAGAATAAGATACAAAGGCTATCAACAATATTGTGGTTTTATTTGTTCTTGTTTATTGTGCAGACTGAGGAAAGGAGGAAAATAGATGAGCTGATTACAAGTGGGAAAGAAGAAGGAATGAAGGTAACTGCAATGCCAACCTAAGTAGCCATTTACTGTTTATTGTACAGTGTCTTGATGTTAATCTGTTTAATCTGAGAGTAGCAAAACTCAGTCTCAAGACCCTGCAATTCTCTGATGAAAATGCAGAAAAACTGCCACATACTGATTTTCCTTATGAATGGGCAATATTGTTCTCTGAAGAATATGTRTGTGCAGCCTTGGTCATAAATATTGAGGGGTCTTTAAAGTCTTTACAGAAATCCACTTCTGAGTTCTTCGATTGGAAGACTTCATGCCCAGCTACCCAGAAACTCAGGGTGTGTCCCAAATTCATCCTGCATTTCTTTCAGATTTCCATGTGTTGTGCTTCGACAGCTTTGTCTGCARTGCACACAAATTCCCTTTTGCAGCATTCTTTAATGACAAATCATTTCCTAGTAATCAGTGTATCTGCAATGATGCCAATCAGCTGGGAAATGAGAAAGTGTTTTCTTTTCAACTCAACAGATTGATTACATCGATGGCAAAGGGAGAGGAGTAATTGCTACTAAACATTTTAATCGAGGAGAATTTGTGGTTGAGTATCACGGGGATCTCATTGAGATCACTGAYGCCAAGAAACGAGAGGCTGTGTATGCTCAAGACCCATCCACAGGCTGCTACATGTACTATTTCCAGTACCTCAGCAAAACCTACTGGTAAGCTCAAGTTTGAGTGACAGAGGCTTTGAATGCTGCTAAACCTTTCCTTGTTTTCATGCAAATTTGTTATTTTTAATAGAAAATGTGCATTATGGAATCTTTTGGAGCATTGATMCATGGTCAAGCCTTGTGTGGATTCCTCCTCCTTTATCTGATTTGCACTTTGGGTTTTGCCCACACACATGCCCATGTCCCAGGTGCAATCCCACCTTTTGTTCTTGCTCTTTCAGTGTCGATGCTACAAAAGAAACRAATCGTCTGGGAAGGCTCATAAATCACAGCAAGTGTGGCAATTGTCAGACCAAGCTGCACGACATCGATGGTGTGCCTCATCTCATCCTGATAGCTTCCAGGGACATTAAGGCAGGTGAAGAACTGTTGTACGACTATGGAGACAGAAGCAAAGCTTCCATTGAAGCTCATCCGTGGCTGAAACACTAATTCATCTTCCTTGTTTTGGGTTTTTTTTTTATTTTTGGACTGAATGTTCTACAAGGAGTCAGTGAATATTTTTTTCCTGYCCTCACTTCCCTCAGCTTTCTTAGTGGACTGCTTATGGTCTTCCAAGCTCTTTAAAAACGACCTTTTTGCTTTGCAGTATTTAAATACCTATTACAGTTTTCCAGGCAGGCTTGAATAATTGACCTTAGATTGCCAAAACTTTTATATCAAAGGAAAACCCTCCTTAAAATTTGAATGCTTCTGCATAGTGACCAGTGCCACTTGAGCAGTGAAAGACTTGCACAGAAACTTTTATCACYGGGGTTGTGCTTCTGCTTTTGCAAGGAAATCTCACACTCCACTTTGGGGTGCTGAACTTGGCTTTATGACAGAAGTACTTCTGTACTTGGTCATCCAGTGGCTTGACTGCCTGTCAGACTGCTTTTCACAGAGCAGTGCTGACAGGCTTCTCTGAGATGGATGCTACTGTCATTCTCAAATAATTTGTGGTAGGAATGCAGTTTTTCCAGTGTCATACACTTTGTTGGCAKTGAACTTCAAATGCACTGGCACTGAGGGAAAAGGATGGTCAGATTGGCTGCTTTCTTTGGAGAAATGACTGCCAGCCAAACGAGGATGGATTTTGATAGACTGGGTTGATACTGATTACAGATGTGAAGATAGAACTTCACAGTGAGAATCAAGGTTTGACATTTACTTATTTTCTAAACTTTGACAAGGTACCTTTTTATAGTTGATGGCTGATTCTTGGAGGTGTCTCCCAGAGGATTTTAAAGAAGTAAAAGCTCTCTCCAAAAATTTTTATATTACCTTCCTATGCTAATTAACCACATCAGAAGCTATTTATTTACTGTGAATGCTTGAAGTAGAGCATAGCGGTTCCAAAAATAGGAGTCATCTTCATATGCAGCTTCAAACTGTAGTGATGGAGTTCATGCAGTGAAGAAAGTAGATTCCTTATTGCCTGGTCCTGTAGGTCTGTCCAGCACGGTCTGGTCCCACTGTCTCACATGGGAGTGGAGCACTTGGCATCTTGTGGATGTTGGGAATGTTACTGTTGGAGAGCCAAATCTGGGATATAGGCAGGCAATACAATGCAGGTCCTTTATGTTAAAGATGAATTCTTACCAGTTGGAATTTTTGCCAAGGCAGGCTTGGCATGTGTGTAGATGAAAATGGCTGTGAGCCATCAGCCACGCTTGCTGCTGGAAGATGTCAGCAAGGGATCTGTGGCTCTGTTAATGTCTTCTATTCCTCATGTCTTGAAGGCTGCTGCTGTTCCAGCTGAATGCCCTCTAGGACAATCTTAATGCTTGCCTATGTGATAGGTCAGATAGCAACAACATCCTGGTTGTGTGCTCCAGCAGCAAGAGCGGTGGCTCAGTGATGTATTTTTTAAATTAAAAACTTGAAGACAATGTCTCTGTAAAATAAAGAATATATTTATTATTGATGAAATGGCTGCTATACTACCTGTCTCCATTGCAGTTCATGAGCATTTTGGATGAAAGCTGTGAAAATCATTAGCTGTTAAATGCTTTATATTATTTACTGTTCACACAAGGCAAACTCGTCAGAGCCAGCCTGGGTATTTTCCCATTTCTGAAGAATGAACTGGAGACCTTTTCATTACGTGTACTGAGTTTCAGGTAAGCCTCATTGGCCAGCTTGTCTGAGTTGGCACTGATTTTTCTCTGGTCTCAGTAACAGAGACCTCAGCCATGTGTACAGTGTCCTGTTAAACTAGAGCACTTCCCTTAAGTCACAATTGGAATAAATTTTTTTTTGTTGTTTTATTTAAACATTTACTTGTTCTCTATCAGGTTGAATAGTTTAAAACCTCTGTATTTCAGCATCACTTTTGTAAATGAGAAAGGGGAAAGATCTCCCTGTTTTACATAAAAAGAAAATGTCTTCTCTGGAAGCTTAACTGGTAATTGAGTAGCACTGCGTTGGAGGATGGAAATAAAGCTCATGTTGCACTGCATATGTATCCTTTACTTTTCTAGGAACACATATATATAGAGATTTGTAGATCTATCTCAATATACTCACAGGAAGATGTAATTTGGGTGTTTATCTGTGCCTCACAGGAAGGCTTCATCTTCTAACAAAGTGTCACAGGGAAAGAAGCCCTTGGGTTGGGAGCTAAACTGCTTTTTTTAAAGGAGATTGGATAAACCAGGGAAGAGGATGGAGTTCAGATCACAAGTAAACATCATCTCTCTTCAGCTCAGAGATGCATCCTGACTGTTGCTGATTATGATTGCTTCTTTATTTAWTTTTTTCTGTGCACAAAGCCTCTGCTCAGTCAATGCAGTAACTGCCTTCCCTGCTGCCATGATCTAGAAATACATAATGAGGGCATGGCCAAGGCTTGTTGATATTTTGAAGATGGCAAAAGGACCTCAGTAGGTCTGTGCCCTGGCTAAAGCAGCTGGCTCAGGTCAGCCATCTGTGGTGGTGCCTTGCTAAAAAACAGACACTTGTTCCTGAACTCTGCCTTCTGCCAAGCCGTGTTCTCGTTGTGCACCCGAGCAGATGTGTGCACTGTCCTATATTTTTCATGCTGCCAGTGTAGGAGAGGGAATCAAAAGACTTCAGAGCCTGCTTTCACTTCTGAAGAGAGTAAGATCACAGTTTGATACCTGTCACTGCTGCTTTTATGTCTGTTCAGGCTTTTCTGCTCTGGATATTCCACCTTTCTAAATGGGGAACGTAATTGGTGTCTTTCAAGCCTCCTTCTCCACTCTCTGTTTGCCCTATATGCTTCCACTGGTGCTCAATCTCATTACTGGGGCCAACACACAGCTTGTGGCAGGTGATTGAAAGAACAGAGCTTATGCAAAACACAACTGCCTACCACAGGAGAGCTTCAGCTGTCAGAAATGAAACGTTTGGTGCATCTGTTCCASTCTGTGCACTGTCTGCACCTCAGTCCTTCATGTGGGCAGCTTTGCTTTCTTTGCTGTGCTTTCCTCCACTGTTCATCTCACGCACAAACAGCCACTGGTGAATGGCATGTATTTTTAAAATATGTCTTCCTCTTGGAAAATCATTTGGGCTGAGTGTTTTGATAGCTGGACAGGAGGAGTATGKTGTGGTACTCATCATCACAGGCTCTTTTAATAAGAATAAAACCAACCTTTGTACAAACGTTTTATTTTCTACATGTGGGTAATGTCTGACATTAAGAAATACAAAAAATGTCTGACAGTAAGAAATACAAAAAAATGTCTGTTTTAAACAGTTTCTGAAAAAGCAGAGTAAAATCTATTCTGAAAGAATATTATACAACATCATTTTAATGAGATTGCTCATTTTCTGCAGTAGGAGTGATGCTGCTTCTTCCAATCATTGTCTCCCAACGCCTCCAAGGCTCATCAATGCCATTCTCAACAGCAGTGCTTAAGTCCTTGAAGATTTTCCATGTTTGAAAGAAAACCTAAAAACATCAACARCAAAAAGCAATAGCAGAAAGGAAACAATAATGCACAACTGGAAAAGGAGGAATGTGCAGTGGGGTGGCTGTGTCAATGTGCTATTTTGGGGAACTTTGGGGACACAGCTTGAGCTTGTGGGTTTTGTGTAGAATGTAAATAAACCTTGGGGGCCACTGGGGTGCTCCCACAGCCCCTGAGAGGCTGGCAGGAGGGCAACTATTGAATTGTTGTGCTCAAAAATGCTTGTTTTTCCTAGAAAAAACAGACTCCCTGCTTGCCTGGGTGGAGGTTGCTTTCCTGTGCAGTGCTTTTTTCCACAGGAAGAGATTGCTTTATCAGGTTTTTAACTTTACATGGAGAGCAGAAAACAATTATCCACCCAACTAGGCTAAAGTTCAGCATCCATCCCTGGAGTCACTGTATAAGGAGTGTGCCATGTTCTCACAAATTCTGCCCAAAAATGTGCAGACAAACTTACAGCCGTTTGATGATTGTCTTCTCTTCACTGTCCTTGCTGCTGCCAGCGCTGCTGCCACTGGTTTCTTTTTCCAGTTCTTCAGTTTGGTCCCTTTTCTGGGAGATGATCCCACTGGGAAAAGAAATGCTTTTGTTTATTTTTGGTAGGTTTGTGCAGAGTGTGGCAGTGCATGTGTTAGACCCCTCACTGGGCAGTTGGGACATGGGTGAATGAGTGTTCACAGGACAGGGATGGAAGCCCAGYCTTTTCCTTGTAGTGAACTGAAAATAATGAATTATTATCCTAAATACAGCAATGTGATGTTGCCAGGGTTATGCTTTAATGAGAACACTCCACAGAGGAAAAAAATGGCAAATCATAATGGGGGTGAAAAGGAAATGTAATCACACTTGGATTTATACAAAAGTCCAAGGATAACAGGAAGGTGCAGACACAAATGGTGAATTTCTGCAGGGGTGGATTTGTGGTACCTCCAGTGCAGCCACCAAGGCTCACACCACGCCTGAGAACAGATGAGAGATTCCCAGCTCCCCTGCAAGGCAGCTGCCTGTTCCTCTTTCCACCCTACAGAGGAGAGAAGAAAGGCTTTGCCTCAGCTCTCGATTTTGTCATCTCACTTCAGTGTTTCTACACTCTATGAGTTGTAACCGCCTACTCCAGGCAACAGTTTCAGTTTGACCAAAGGATGTTTTTTCCCCGCTTGGAACCGGGTTAGATTTTCCCAGCCTGCATATTCAGTGTTTTCACTGCATGTCCTGAGCTGACCTCATTCATTTGGAGAGCTCAGTGGATCAAAGCCTGTGGCTGCAGTGGCTGCAGGCTGAGAGTAGCCAAGCAACACTTGACTGGATTTGGAAATAAAAACACAGAGCACTTAAAAGCTGGTGTGACATCAGGCACGGGRTAATTCTGAGGCAGATTCTCCTCTTGGGTAAAGGGGACAGTGAGCTGTTGGGTGACACTGCAGAGCTCTAAAATCTGCACAATAACTTCTACCCCAAAATCATGATGAAAAACACCACCAGTCACTGCCAGTCAGTCTTTGTGAGGATGTTTGTTGCCCTGTGTTGTACAGAGCTTATTTCCAATATGTAAAAGGCATTTTAGAACACATATTTATCCACTTTGCCTGCACAATTACTTTTTACTACAATTCCCATTAGGATTTTATGTGACTATTGAGAGGGAAAATGTTTTTTGGCTTAAGCTCTAACAGTGTATCAGGAGATAACCTCACAGATTACTCGACCTGAAAAGCAGCCCTGCCCTGCTCTTGGTGCACAGCACTGTGACTGAAATCCTCAAAACCTGAAAACATTCCCACTGTTACATTTTTAACTTGGCCTGTAATAAACTGTGCAACAGTTGGGAAATCMAAGCAAAGCATCCAGCTGAGGTGGGGAAGTGCATTTTGTAAATTCTTGGATTTAAGAGTAACTACTTGGCTTAACCTGCCTGTTACAGACAAGGCAAAGGGCAGGCTCGCTGTATCCAGGAGATATCTCAAATGAAATGTAATGTGCTCAGACATTTTCTGTCTAGATTAAGAATTAATTTATCGACCCAAATTGTTCGTAATCTGCTTGATGAGGAGGGGCAGAGGTTRGGAAGAGCAGCCTTGGTGGTGAATGAATTTGTAGCACCAAAATCAAGGCCCTTCCCACATTCCACCCTTTGGCTCACGCTGGTTCTGGTCCCTTGGAGAAAGACCAAACCCTTCCCTGAAAGAAATCACTTGCTTTGCACAGTACAAGAGCCTTACACAGACCTCTGATTGCCCTCTTAAAAACCCCACAGCCTATCACAAATGATGAAAGAGCTCAATATTCTGTTTCTAGATCACTGCCATACCCCTGTGGGAGCAATGACCGMAAATAAACCAGTGTTGTGCTGCAGGAGGAAGGAAATTTTGACTGAAGCAGAGCTGGAAACCCCCCCGTGCTCTCTGGTATGTAGTGTGGCTTTAGACACAGTGTGTGTGCAACTGCTGTGACTGCACAGATGAATTCTTGTGCATGAGAACCCAGCCTGGATGTGGAGTGGGAGTCACTGTGYGTAGGCTGACAGCGGGACAATTATGGGAAGAGGCTGAGAACTGTGCAGAGGAAAAGGGAGTTGAGTTTTTAAATTATGTTGTGTAGAGGCCTCATTGTTCCCCCATTTTTCTTTGCTCACTTGTACGCTCTGGGGAGAACAGGGGGCATTTACACACCTGGACAATTGCCTACCCCAACTCAGGGGCCCAAACCTGCAATACTCTCATCTGATAAGCTTCTTAGACATGAAGTAATTGTTACTAGTAGTTATCAGTTATTTGGTGACTTCATACTTTACCTCTTGTAGCACTGTAGCTCCTCTTGCACCACCAGAAGCTGAGCTTTCAGCTGGTTCCTCTCTTGCAATACATCTCGGAGCTCCTGTAAKGTGAACCGGGGCCGGTTGGGGTCTGTGAGGTCTATCACCATTTGATCTGGTCCAAGGTTGGGCTGTAAAATAAACAGTGGTGGATCCTGTAACCTCTGAAAAAACAGAGAACTCAGAGAGTAAAAACTCTAGATTTTATAAATAAGGAATTTTTAGAACTGGTATGAATTCATCACAATCCCGATTTTTTTTCCAAGCAGTTAATTATAGTTCTTCACATTTTTGAATTCCCTTGGTGACTGTGTTCCCAAGCCAAGTATAGGCCACAACTGTGAGAGGCTCTGGCCACAGCTAAAAGCAAAGTCTCTGTCCCAAAGAGTTTGCAATTTAGTTTGTCAAGAAGATGCTTTTATCAGCTTTTCTGYTGATGAGAGAGGCTGAGCCATCTAATGTCTCACCAAAACTCCGTGTCAAAGAGAGGTGAGAACTGAATTCTCCTTTCCTCATTTAGAACCTTTGTAGTAGTCAAGACATCCGTTTCCCTCACMCGGGATAACAAAACCTCAGCGTTTGCATACAGTTGTTTCTATGGGGCTGATGCTGTGCAAGAGCTGAACGCGGTGTTTGTACTCTGAACTCTGAGTGACTGCACAACTTTGCTGGCACTGCCCGTTGCTGAGCCAAAACGGGTGAAACCGGAGCGAGGGATGCGCAGCACCGTGACCCGTAACCACCCTGAAGGACAGAGCTCTAAGGCTTTCATGGCCAAAGTCGGGGAAGGACTTTTGTGAGACTCGTTCCGCTGACACAAAAGAGCCCACGAGCATCCGGCGGCCCATCGGCTGTCGCTCAGGGGGCGCTCCGCAGCCGCACGCGGTGGGCCCGAGCTGGGGAAGGGGCTGTGTCCTGTGTGTCCCGTGTGTCCCGTGTGTCCCGTATCCCGGCCGTGTCCCGTGTGTCCCGTGTGTCCTGGCCTTGTCCCTTGTGTCCCGTATCCCGGCCGTGTCCCGTGTGCACAGTCCATGTCCCGTGTGTCCGGTTCGTGTCCCGTGTGTCCCGTGTGCCCCGTGTGTCCCATGTGCCCGGTCCGTGTCCCCCGTGTCCCGTATCCCGGCCGTGTCCCGTGTGTCCCGGCCTTGTCCCCTGTGTCCCGTATCCCGGCCGTGTCCCGCACCCACCTGCGGGGCGCTCCCTCGGCTCTCCGCCCGCAGCTGCTCCAGCTCCCGCCGGAGGCTGTCCCGCTCCCGCCGCAGCTGCTCCTCGGTCACGCTGCTCTCGCTCACCAGCGCCTCCAGCATCTCCAGCACCCTGACGATCCTGAACTGCAGCCGGGCGCGGGCGGCGGGCAGCTGCGGCCCGGCGCTGAGCTGCAGCAGGTCCCGGCCCACCACGGAGGAGATGTCGTAGACATCCGCGGCCGTCAGCTGGAACGGGCTCTTCTCCAGGGCGCTCTCCGGGCCGCCATCCTCCTCCTCCTCCTCCCCATCCTCCTCCAGCTCCTCCTCCTCCTCCTCCCGGCCCCGCTCCATGCCCGCCGCTCCCCGGCGTTCCCTCCCAGCCGGGCCGGGCGGCGCTGCCGGCGGAGCTGCGGGCGGAGCGGCTCCTCCCGCCCCCGGCGCTCCCATGGCGGCGGCCGCGGCCCCGCGGCGCTTCCCGCCCTGCCCCTTCCCCTGAGGAGGCGCCGCCCGCCCTGCGCTGCCGGTGAGGAACTGAGGGCTCCCGGTCAGCGCTGCGAACCGGCACCGAGCCGGCTGAACGCCTCGGCCGCTCCGCAGCGCCACATCCGCCTCGGCGGCTCCGGGAGCGGGGCGGGGGGACTGGCGGGCTCCGGCCGGCACGGAGCGGGGAAAAGRGGCTGAAATCGGCCCCGGCCCGGAGGATCGGCTCCTGCCCGCCGGGAGAGCCGCGTTCCGCCGACGGGCGGGTGAGGGGAGAGGCGGCGGCGGGAGCGGGGCTGAGGGGCCGGGCCGGGCCCGCGGGGAGAGCGGACCCCTCAGGCCAGGCCAGGCCAGGGGTGGATCGGGCTCCTCGACACGGCTCTGTCCTGGGATGCGAACTCAAACAACAGCGACACGGCTGGTTTATTTTGGTTTGTCACGTTTTAGGGGATTTTTGGATGCCAGTGCAGCTTGTTCCTGACACAGCCGTGATCCTGTGCCATGTGTGTTCTCCCCCAGTAGATCATGGCTGACTGGGCCCCCATAGCGAAGGAGTACGATCCCCTCAAGGCCGGCAGCATCGATGGCACGGACGAGGAGCCCCACGACCGCGCCATATGGCGGGCGATGCTGGCACGGTACGTACCCAACAARGGCGTCACGGGAGATCCTCACCTCACACTCTTCGTAGCCAGGCTCAATCTCCAGACCACCGAAGAGAAGTTAAAGGAGGTCTTTTCCCGTTATGGAGACATCAGAAAGATCCGTCTGGTTCGAGACCTCGTCACGGGATTTTCCAAGGGTTAYGCGTTTATCGAGTACAAAGAGGAGCGCGCGCTCTTGAAGGCCCACAGAGATGCCAACAGGCTGGTCATCGACCAGCATGAGATCTTTGTAGAYTTTGAACTGGAAAGAACTCTCAAAGGATGGATTCCCCGGAGGCTTGGWGGTGGGTTTGGAGGCAAAAAAGAATCCGGGCAGCTGCGGTTYGGAGGACGGGACAGACCTTTCCGAAAGCCCATCAATTTGCCAAACATGAAAAATGATTTCTATGGAGAAGGATCGTCAGAGAAAAGAAACTGGTCTCGTGAGGGAACAAGGGACTGGAGAACAAGGGAGCGGGACCACGAGMGGAGCAGGGACAAACGCTGGCCAGAAAGGGAGCGGTCATGGGCTTGGGGTGACAGTGAGAGAGAGAGGGACTCCAGAGAAGAGAGGAGCAGGGGCAGGGAGAGGAAGGACAGAGACAGGAAGGACAGGGACAGAGACCGGAGCAGGGAGAGAGATGSCAAGAAGCAAAGAGATGATGATAAGCACCGATAGGTGACCGTGCCTTGTCCCTGGGGTGTGTCACCCACGGTTCCAGCAGCTCGGGGCTGTGACAGCATGCCCAGAAMAAGCTGTGGTGGTGCCATCTTGTGCCTGTGACTCTGCTGCCAGCAGCTCTCTGTTCCTAATGCAGTTCAAATGTGTGTTGAATTGTTGTTTAGAGAAAATAAACTTTTGAATTCATGTTTTTAAACTGGTGAAGGCTGTAAGGAATGCACCGTGTGTGCAGGCATCCCACTGAGCTGAGCACACACCATGTCTGGGACCTGCCTGGGTGCCTGGGTTAGGGGTTATCTGTGGGCCAGATGTTCACCTTAGTTATGAAACAGTCCTGTGCTGGACACAGGAACAGCAACAAACTGAAACTTCCAAAAAACATGCCCCAAAACAGAACCTGATGGGAAGCAGTTTGGTTTTTGTGAAGACACTGGAACAGGCAAGGCCTTCAGTGATACTGTGCCCTTAACTAGTTGTGCCAGGTGAGGGAGAAGCATGGAACAAATCCACTGTGGGAAGATGAAACTCCTTTGAACAGAGGAATGTGCACCACAGGGCAGTAAGCAGGTCACAAAATGCCTCATGTTCCTGATGGATCCATGGACAATCCCTGAGGGAGGGTGTCATGGGTAAATGTGGTTGCAGCTGCACCCACTCTTTCCTCACCCTTCCACAAAGGGTTTAAATCCRTTCTGGAAAGGGTTTAAATCCATTCTGGAAASAGTTTGCTGCTGGCTGTAGCTGAAYTGGGGAAAACAGAGGGCAAAACATCTTTTTCAGGGGTAGGATGTGTAAATACAGACACATCTTTTCCATTAAGGAGCTTACATTGCATTCTAGAAAAGGCTCTGTCATGTTCTTTGTCATCATAAGCCATTCCTAAATATATAAAGTGTTTTAAATGGTATTTCATCAGTGTTTGGATGGCTCTGGTCCTACACCTTGTCTGGTTTGAGGCTGTATTTCCATGAAGAGTTGTACACAGATCCATAGGCTGCATCCCCCAAGAAGGGATGGCATTGCTTTCCACAAAAAAAAAAGGACATAAGTCTTGCAGAAATACGTGTTTTTCAGAAATATTTATTAAACTGTTAACATGATTTACTGCCCAACCAAAAAAAAAAAAAAAAAAAAACAACCCAAAAAATGTCAGTGATCCTGCACTTGGCAGACAGGATTGTTACACCCCTTACCTGCCACCATCCTGGCCCCTTTTCTAAAAGCAGATTTTCCTCGAATATTGACAAACAATACATGACAGATCTGAAGAACAAACACTTCCCTCTGYGCCATCATTCCCGACGGCACTTGGGGTGTGTGAATGCAGCATTGTGAACATGAGAACCAGTGGTTAATGCCAGCAGGTCAGGAGGAGCTCCCGAGGGGTTGGAGGGACTGGGCTGCAGGGATGAGTGGGGGAAGGCTCCTGCTCCCTGCAGTGGTGTGATGTTGGCTGCAGAGCAGCCCGAGAGCAGTGCCCCGGGCTCTGGATGGGCTCTGTGTGCACCAGRCCTGGAGACTTCCTTTGTGCTGCACCAGCTTAGCTTCGGTCTGTGTGCTTCCATTATCCCAGCTCACTGCTCTCAGCTGATTTCCAAAGGGATCTGCTTACTCAGGCCGTGCAGTTCTGGCTTTGTTTCTGCTCACTGCATCCCTTCTGAATGCGCCACACGACTCAGCTGCGCTCGGGAGAGACTCCACGGGGTCACTCACCATTTAACTGCCTGATGTGACTGYACTGGACTTTTTATTTCCTCAAATGGAAGTGAAGCCAGATCCTGGCAATTTAAATATCATTAAGACACTTCCCTCATTTAAGAATTTCACACAAAGGGGGTGTGCTGCTGTTTTAAGGAAGTTACCAAAATATAACCAGACAAAATTACATCTGCCCATTACCCATATCAGATGCTGCCTCACTGTTTCAAATGCAGGTGTCTCATACAAGGCCACATGTRCCCCCTGCCCCGAGCTGCAGTGACACCAGGGGGGCACAGTAAACACTTTCCCTACCTAGAACATGCAGAAAGGTCCATGTTGGAATGAAGCAGTTACAGCCAGGAGCAGGGCAGCACACAGCCCATCACTGCAAGGAGCAGTTTCTTGCCAAGGTTTTACTAAGGCTAAGAATCATTTGCTGCTCACACACATGAAAAATCCAGTCTTGGATCACTCTGCAATAAAAACAATTGGCCTGCACTAAGCCCTCTGAAGTCCTTTGAGAGTTCCTCCTACACTCAGTACCTGGAGTAGTTGGAGTTTCACTCCAGCCTGAGCTCTGTTTCCTGTCCTTGGTGCCACTCCTGAGAAGAGGCTTTGCAGAACAGGTGAGGCCAACAGCAACTCCCAGCCCCTGGCACTGAGCTGCACRTGCAGAAGCTGCCCATGGCCCTGCTGGCACCAGATCCTCCTCACGAGCAGTGGTGCTCCAGCAAGGACCTTGCCAGCACACGGCCAAGGTCAGAGACACCTCAGCCCCATCCTCACACGGAGCTGTGGATACACTCACCCTCTCCCACCTGTCAGGTGTGTTGTGGAGTGTTGCAGCAGAGGTGGGGAGTGCACTGACACTGGGCTRTCCACAGCACTGACTCTGGGGGGGTTTTAGTGTTGGAAGGACAACCTTGGTCAGACCCAGGGTCTCACCAGCTCAGCTGCACAGCAGATCAAGGCCCAGTCCCTGTGGGTTGGTTGTCAGGCTGTTACTGGCGAGTTAAGTCCCATAATGGGCTACCCAGACATCTACCAACAACTCACAGAATTCACCTGCTCTGCCCATGTGGGTTAGTCAAGAGAAAAGGTTGGGGTCATGTCTAGGTCATGTTTCCCTCTGAAGTTGGGCAGTCTTACCTAAACAGGAAACTGGAGTGTGAATTAAAAACCTGTCTGTGGGAATGATCTAATCCCTTTACAGCAGCTGCCTGCTACGCTGGGGGGAAGTCTCTGGTAAAAATTCAACTGTTCAGATTCCTCCCTGTAAGCAATTKGTTTGCCATTAATACTGCAGAATCCAAGGCACACGCACCTCATACATGGGTTCTTCATGCTTTAGGCACTATAAACACAAGGGAAATGTACACTCACTGTCCCTCTCAAGGCTACTCCAGTTTGTCACCGTGTCAGGTGGATTTCCAAGGGGTGGCTCTGCAAGAGCCGATGCCAGCAGCACTGACAGGACAGAGCAGAGCTGTGGGCTGCCACCAAGGGTGTCCAGCTGTCGTATCCCTCTTGAAAAAAATTCTTACAGAAATAAAAAGCAAACAACCGATAGTGTTAACAAACAGGGTAAAAGTCTTTGCCCTGTACTAGATATACACTGCAAACAAACTTCTAATAATGGCACAGGTCCTTTTTTGGTTTAAAGAAGCTTGTGTTACTGTAGTTAATGCATGAACAAGATCACAGACTTGTTATTCAGCACAAAACAAGTCATCTAGAAGCTTCCATGTCCCAGGGTGTCAGCAGCTGTTACTACAAAGCTTGGGTTCCTGTTTGCAGCAAACAGTCACCAAGTGAACAGTGAGGGATCCCTTTTGGAGAGTCTGAAACAACCCCCGAGGTGTGCAAGGCAAGAAATAGTGACGAGCTGCCRCGATGCTTTACAGAAGCTTCTTGTTACGAGACTGTCGAGATCTACTGCAGTAAACCAAACACCTCGAGGCTTCAGTCACAGGTGTTGCAGGGCTTCTTGTCCTTGTTCCATGTAGGAGTCATCTCTGTTTGAATGTGACCATTCTCCAAAAGTTCCCTGGAAGTGGACATTTTTCTGTGATGTCTGCAGACGTTTTTTATCACGAGAGAAGAAACTAAATCTTCCGGGAAGGGAGGAGTGAGGGAGAGGAAGGAAAAGAAAGAAGACTGTTACCCATCTTGAAAACACTTCAAACACCCRCCCCAATACACAGCACAACAAAACACCGAGCAAAAAAAATCTGTTTGCATCTGCAGAAAATCAAGGCAGAGCAGCCTGATGGGAGTGCATGTCAGGATGTTGTTAGGGATGGAGTCATTGCAATCTCAAGCGGTTTGGCTACRGAAGCTTCAGATCAGCTCTAAATGCTGTTGACTCTACAAGGTGCAGGTATCATTTAGATGTAGTTYCCCCTTCTCCAGCCCTCAGGTATCAAAGCAACACAATCCAGGTTAGTTTCTTGGCATAAGTAAAGTGGTATCTTTGGCATTAAATCTGTATATTTTACCATAAAGCAGAAATACTTTTTTTTTTTTTTTTAAGGTTGTCAGCAGGGAAATTCATAAGATAAGAAAATAAGTTTCCACATTTTTTCCCTGATAACATAGACTTGATTCCTGCAAAAATGAATGAATAAATGCACCTATGTKCATGAGAGTTTGCAGGATGAAGGCTCTGAATAAATGCACACGAGTGTGCACGTCATTTCCTGTCACACGGCTTGGGTGCTCTAAGATAATGACGTACATGAACCAACAGCCATTTAATACAAAATACAGCTGGAAAAATCCTTAGTATTGTTTTAATTGTATGGGATGAGGTTACTGGATTAGGCAAATTCAATGTTCCTTGTGGGTTCAGTACRAGAGGTGTTAGTGCAGTGTTTAGGCCTGCTGAGAAATGCAAAGTTGTGGTTGCAGCTACCAAAGGACTGAGYTGGCTGCAGATCCCTTTGATCTCAGTGTGTGTGGGCTTCAGGAGGTGAAGATTGTTTTGTCTACACTGCAGCAAATGTGACACAGTTGTGACCCAGGACAGGAACTGCTAAATGCTTCCACAGAAAGGAACCATGGTGGTATAAACTGAGCTTTGGTGGGTGCTGGAATAACTGATCAGGGCTTAAACCTGAGCCTGAGTCCACACTCACCTTCCTCAGCGTTCTCCCTCCTCCCACARTCCCTTCATCCCCTCAGCACCACCATCCCAACCCTCCCAACTGCTTTGTGCAGATCGGGGAGTTCAACCTTCCCTGTCTCTCGTCACACAGGAGGCTGGATGATAATTACTGAGAATATTAAGACTATACAATTTAAATGCCACATAACCAATATTGTCAGCAGGACCTGAACTTCTGCATTTCCTGGCTTCAAATATGCAGCCTTACTAGGCTGAAGTAAGTTTTTTGCACTTARTTAGCCTCATCCTTTCCTACCACCTTCATCACAGGAGCTCATGAGTTCACACACAAACACTGTGTATTTTCAGAGCCAGCTCCAGCTGATAAAGTATTTAGTGACTGAGGCTTTCTGCAGAGCACATTTGGTCCTGCTGGTCAGGGTTACTCTCTGCAAGCCCACACAAAGGACTGCTGTGTTTATACAGTCAGTTTCAAATGTCAAAGCTCAGTAATTTTTCATTTTATGGTGAAACTAAGCAGGAGAAAAATAAGTTGGTAGATCTCTAAAGGATTCAGTTTTTTTAATTCCTTCTGAAACAATGGAAATTKTTATTATGCCTAGAAAATTCTCATGGAGGATGTTTGGAAAAGGCCCGTCTGTGTGGAGAGGAAGGGATTTTAAAACTGTGTCATTGCTGTAAATATAAAGATCACCAAAGCAGCAGTTCTAATGCAAAGAGACTTTGCATTAGCAATTATCAGTATGTCTTCCAGGGAGAGCCAAGAATTGGATGACAGAATTAATTATGAAGAGTTTACACTCTATTCCAAAATACATAATTAGAGACAAAATATACAGGGCATAGATAGAAAGACATGAAAGCAGCAGCCTGTAATTAACAGTGGAAATTAATGTAGAAATCAGCCACTCCATTCTGTAACTCTAACTAATGATTGTAACAAATCGTTAGAAATTACTTTCTCAGAAAGCACTGGTGAGAACTGTGAATAGCCACGCTTAGGAAGCAGAATTAACAGATGCCAGTTAAAAGTGCACATTGTGCAAATTTTTCCGAGGAATACTGATTGGTTTAGCATGGCAACATTAAGGGAAAAAGTGATAAAATGTCAGTTTGAGAGTGAGCATGGTGGACTGGGATGAGTACTGACACTGACTGGTCATTCTGATCGGCCCTTTGATCCTCTGGGATCCCACAGGCAGCCAGGAGAATGCAGCCAGCAGTGTTTGTTAACACAGGGTCATGCAGGAGGAAACCACAGTACCAAATATTTAAAAAAAAAAAAATCCTACAAGGGACACAAGTCTTCTTATTGGCTGCAATGTGGGATCGTCTGGAATCAATCCAGCTGCTACCATGGGCATTATGGCTGTAAAGATCCTGGTCAGGAAAGTACAGACACAGAARAGGTAAGACTGGAGCAAGGGAAAGAAAAAGCATTCCATTAAAAAGAAAAGAGGCAAACATGGTACACGGGGTTACTTTGAATTACAACACAGGACACGTTACAGGGAGAGGGGGAYCTGCATCACCCAAGACAGCTCTCCTCAGTGAAAAACTCTTGTTTAGAAAAAAAAAACCAGTTGTTGTAGCAGTTTCAATTGGTTCTGGATTTTTAAAAGATACCACTTTCCTATTGTGAGRCAGCCTGCAACCTGGGTTGGATTTCATCAAGGTATGACCACCTCTAGCAATGCAGAGCAGAGTGCACGTTTTTGTTCCAAGAGACAAACAGGCACAGACACAATGAAATGAAGGATGAAGGTGTATGTTAACAAATACAAAACAGGGCTCTGCTGTCACTACTGGATATTGGCACAGAAAACAGGGTTAGACAGGACCAGCACTACAGTTAAAGATTTTACAAAGGTTACAGTTGATACTTTCAAGTTAAAAACCACTATTGCAGGTGAATCCTTGAAAAAACCTCCTAAGAAACTCGTGGTTAAAGGGCCTGTGTGTCTGTTCCAAAAGAACCTGTGTTACTTCTCATGCAGAAAGATGCCAACTGCAGGCAGCTGAATGCTTTTGGGAAACCTTGCAGCTGCTCTGGCAGGAGCACTTTGGAGCTGGCTCACAGCAAGACGAGTTCTTTGTGAGGGTTCAGCACTTCCACTGAGCATTAGAAAATCCATGCAGCTTAGAGGCTGAGAGAGCAGARTGCTCCGTGCCCAGCCAGCCCCACACACCCCTGCCAACACACCTTCATCCATACCTGCAACACCCTCTGTTTTTCTAAGGATTCTCCTCAGAGCTTCTCCTTTGTGCCAAATATTTTTTTGAACTGTGGACTGATGTCAATTAAAGATTAAGTTGAAATCACCAGAGACGTTTYGCTTGTGACAAATGCAGCTCTCCCCAACTCACTAACTGCTGTTCTGAGATTAAAATTGAAAACAAATGGGCAAACACTGTTGGATCATTAGCAGCAGCCAGGATTTCTATTTTTATGCAACGTGGCACGTCCTGAGCTGCAGAACTGACAGACACACCAGCTTTTGTAGACTGCAAGAATAGGAAGAAAACTCCTGGCTGTTTGAGGCATGACATCAGTCACAAACAAGCACATAGTCTTAAGGAGAAAACAAAAGGGTGTTTTCTGCTCCAAACAGAGGGAGCATTTTTAATCCTCAGACTTTTCCTCCTCAGTAAAGCCTCCTGGTTACATTATTTCATTAAAATTCTGTCATGTGATGTGGAAGAGACAAATGTACGAGAGTCAGTCAGTCTGAGATCAGAACTCAGAGTTTGCCCCAAACGTGCCAACCCAGAATAAATGCTGATTTCTGTAACTTCCATTTTCCTTTTGTTGTGGACTTGCAGCACTGAATCATCTGAGCACATCTTGGATGGCACAGGCTACACATCCACATGTCCTGGATGGGGCAGGACAGAAGCCACACTTGGGTTCTTTGGYTTTCCCAGCAGTGACATTTCCTCTCTTTTTAAAGCCCAACTACAAGRAAAGTGTTGACAACACATGGACAGGGGAGGAGGGAAGGAAAATAAAACCACACCAGAGAAATCCTATCCAGACAGGCTGCAAGAATGAGACAAACCTGAAAACTACCACCAGCCTTCAGATTACACAGGCAGAGTTTGATCTTCCCTTATCTAATAGAATGGCTAAACAGAGAGAGCAGAATGAAATCTGGGGACAGAGCACGATGGCTGAAAGAAGTAATTTCAATTTAGACAGAAAATACCTAAATAAATACCTCAAATACCTAAAAAAGTACCTCACCAACATGTGCTCTGCMTTACAACCTCTATTTACATTTTTATGCTGCCTTTGCTTCATCAAAGGCAGCATTTCAAATCAAACATGGAAACTGCACAACACAAACTGTGTGAGGTGAAAACAGCTATTCCCTACAACAGAATAAATTTTAAAAAGCTCTAAGAGAAATGTAGAAGAAAAGAAAAACTTTACAGTGAAGATCTTGTGCAACAAAGTATTATTATCATAATCATGGTAGCAGAATGAAAACCAAAGTCCAAACTCAAAGTGCATTTTCAAATCATGTGAGAGGAAGATTTCTCTCAGCACAGGCAGAAAGCTGGAGTCTACTGAAAATAATCAACAGTGCCCTCCTGACTTCATGTGTTTTGGGTCAGTCTAGATTGTCCAGTGGAATTTACTCTCACAGGGCTGCTGCTATTATTAAACAAGGACTGAAGGTTATGGATGTGGGGACAGGATGGAAGAGCTTTTTATATGGAAACAAATGACTGTTCCAAAATAATTTATGCAATTAAAAAAGTTAAGCTTCCTGTATCACAAAAATCGTGTGAGTTGTTGTATGTTTAGAACATTTAATCTGGAATAAATAAATGTACAGGAGGGAGCTTCATCAGAGAAAAGGGCTGGCCAACACTGTGATTTTATAATTAAGTGGTGCTCTAGTGTTTCAACAGCAGCATTAATATTTCAGAAGAAGGTGGGGTTCTTTCAGCCAAGCAAGTGACCATCCTCTCAACAGCAAATTTGCTCAGCAAACAGGAGACTTCTTCAGWCAACAGGGAAATAGGCACAGTGAGGTCATGGGAAAATGATAATCCAAAACTGAAAGTTGTCCCAGATCTAGGCAAAAGTTTTGGCCAAAGACAACTGTTGTTTCACATCTGCCGAGTGCTCCTTTAGTGTCTCTCCCATAAACAGTAGGAATGTGGTTATCTTAATTTTTAAAGTCTTTAAAATTGTCCTGTGCATAAAAAACATTTAGCATTTGCAGACCATAGCCAGTATCCTTAGTAAATATGCTACTTACAGTCGTTTGATTCCAGATTCAGGCTGAGTTGAGGGTTTTGGCTGAATTATGGGTGTGGGCTGTGGGGATCTAGTTTCCTCTTCCATTTCCTCACTTGGAAGAAAGAAAAGACAATTAATGTTCTCCTCCCAAGCCAAAAAGATCTGTTCAAAACCCATTAAAATAAATTGAAGATTTTTTTATCAACCAAGGAACAGCACCTAGAACTGGGTCTCTGTTCAATAYTTTCTTCCCATTGTGACAAGGAAAGGGAAAAGAGGAATGGATTGAATAAAGGGTCCAGAATTTTCCTTTTACACCCCTTCCAATCCTCATTTTTGAAGTTCAAAAGGATTAAATGTTTGCAATCTTTCTAGGATTCTAGTCAAGGGCAGACCAGGGAGTTAGGTAAGGACAAGTTTGAGGTACTGGGTTCAAACTGAGGCCATATTCCTGCAGTCTCTACACAAGCTTTTGCAGAAACGTGAGCTTGGACAGTATTTCAGAGCATATTTATTGTTTGAAGACCTGCCCTGTGGCTCCCCTGTGTACATCATGCAACAGGAGARGAGATGTAACCCACCTTTTGTAATATAAAAGCTCCTCTTGAAGTAAAAACACTCTAGATTTCAGTTCATTCCTCTCGTGAAGGACATCCCTCAGCTCCTGCAGGGTGAATCTTGGGCGATTGGGATCTTTTAAGTCCATTGCCATCTTTTCTGACTCAGAGAGACAATCATCATTGTTTGGTTCTGCCTAGGGAGCAAAACGTGGGCTTTAAATTCACCGTGCACCGTCAGAGGAGATTGAAATATTTATCAGAACAGTTCCCAGCCCCTTCCTTTCAGCACTATTAAATCCTTTTTTTTAAGAGAACGACAGCAATTGTAAGGATTTCTAACTATACAAATAAATGCAGGACACTCTGTCCCAGGAAAATACATTTGAAATGTAGCAAATTCCATTTGAAATGTGATGCTTTTTGCAAGGACTGATGAAATCAGAGCTGCCAGCAGCCAGGTCAGCCCTCCTGGGAGGATGCAGAGATCTGAGTCTCAGACTCCTGTGTGGCAGTGATGCCTCGCTGGGATACAAGCTGGAAATCTGAGGAGTTAAGAAGGGAAATTCCTACACAGCCCATTTCTTGCAATCCTGATCCTACCCTCTTCTATGCTCCAGTGTTTGTGAAAAGGTTTTGCAGTATATTGATGCATGGTATCAGGCTGAATTTGGCTGAAGTTGGTGCATTTTCCACCACAGGATTGCAGTTCCTGTCCTGCAGGGATGAGGCAGCAGAGTGATGCTCATTTGGGCACTGTTTGATCACCCCTTCCATCCAAAYACATCCCTTAGCTCAGACTACATGGAATAAAGATTGATGCAACCTAACAAAACGTTCGAATAATTCAAACACTTTTCCCCCTCTTCACCCACTAAATACAAATCTGAGCTGATGTCTCTTCTTTTGGTTCTATATTTGCCCCATATCTCTGCCCAAATAAGCTATTTTTGCTCAATTTGGCTCAAATCAGTAACGACTGAGCAGTCTGTACCCAATGCAAATGTCCTTGACTGAAGCCAACAAGCAGTGTCCATTCTGGAGCAGCTATTCCAGCTTTCTGCTTGYCACTGCAATTCCTGTGTAAGGCCTGTCCTGGCAGAGGGAGCAGGAAGGGCTCTAATTAGGAGAGGAGCCATTGCCATGGAACTGATGAGTTAGAGAGAGGTGAAGAATGCATCCTTTCTCTGCACACACTGAGGACACTTTCACTCCTGCTGGCTCCGGGCCTGGGCTCCCCAGACCCATTTACAAAGCTGGGTGTCCTGGCTGGATTTGCAGCAATGAAATAATCCTTTTCATTATGMATACAGCAGTGACATGTTAACACAACACTGGCTGTCACATTCCAGGGGGACCAAGGTACCCCATCTGCCCTTGTCTCTGCATTTTGATGTGTATTCCTGCCTATTGCCACTGAAATGGGTTTCACTGGATGTTTCACTCTCTGCTGCAGTCTGTAAGCAGTTACACTGTGGAGCTCTTACCAATGYATCAAGCTGAACAGTTCTGTGTGATAGAGTTCCTCTAAATTCTTAAATACCATGATAACCCTTATTCCATTTCTTACTCTGCTCAGAGCATCATTGGGAGAGGGAAATGCAGTAGATTTGCTTTAGGAAGAAAAAAGGAATGTCATGTGCACAAAGGAAAATACCAGAAGCCATAAAAAGGACTAAGGGATCAACAGATCAGTGCATCTTTTTCTCARGAAGTTCCCCTCAGGTTTGCATTCCTGCTGCTCTGATCTCAGCCCAGCTCCATTTGCAGACTGTCACTCTGCCTGTTCTGCAAGAACCCAGCTCTGCCAGTGGGAATGTTTGCTTTGCCCAAACATCTGTGCTCATAACACTTCACTGCACAAATTCGAATAGGAAGCAAAAGCAAAAACAAGGGCAAAGTTGGTTCCTCTAAAAAGTGCCTTGAAATATTTATGTGTTGATTTGGTAGCACTGTACCAGCTTAGTCCTGACTGATCCAAAATGCCATAAGCTCTGCTCAGACCAGGTGTGCAGAGCTCTGCCCTGACTCTGGCAGCACTTCCAGCACAGCTTCTGTTCCACTGTGGTTCACCTGCCACCATCACCACTGTGCACCCCTGTGACCCATCTGGCCTTGAATATTTGCAGATCTGGCAAAGCGGAAGCTACTGTTGGCTATTTGTCTCTGGAAAACTCAGACTCTTCAAGGAATCAGTTTGTTTTCCTTTGGGGGAAGGGGTAGGTGTGTACAAACAAAATTAAATCAACACAGCCCTGCCAAAAGGCTGTCCCTAATACCAACTAACAGCTGATTCTCCAAGATTGTCCAAAGAGGTACTTGATTTTTTAAAGGCTGTTTAAAAAGTGATTCAAAGTGTCTCTTACCTTTACTTCCTCCCCATTTTGGCTGGCCTGGCTGTCCTCACCCTGCAGTTTTTCCCGGAGTTTCCCCAGCTCTGCTCTCAGGTTGCCCATCTCCTGCTCCTTGGTTTGCAGATAYGCTTCCAACTCCACCTTCTGCTCGATCAGCGCCTTCCCCTGAGCCTCAACCACCGTGATGCGGTGCCGCAGGTCGTGGTTGATTTTCATTAACCTGTTCTGCTGCTGCTGAAGCTGCCAAACATCCATGCAATAGGTCAGTGTCCATTCAGCCATCACCCCGATGGCCCAGTCCCAAACATCTTCTTAAAGTAGTGTGTTCCTGTTGCATTTAATCAGAAAAATATTCCCCCTCCTCATCCCCAGATCAGTTTTATAGCRTCTAATTATCTACTACAATTTCAGTCACCCAAATTTAATTGATTTCTAGACTAAATTCCCCTAGCACAGGGAATTTTTCAGACAAAAGCAAATCCATCACTTATGATATCATTTCATGAAAGAGAAGTTCAAGGATAGAGTGGCTTACGGGATTCTGAATCAAATCTTAACCCAGAGCAGATGAAAGACAAGAGACAGGAACCCCTAAAGTTCACTTTCTAAGTACTTTGCTCTGAGCTCCAAAGCTCTSTCCTAAGGCAGGATGTGACCTGCTGGGTGAGTGTGAACAGCCCCAACTTGAAAGGCTGCAGCACCTGCCAGAGGCATTTGAGCAGAGCAGAGATCACCTAGGCCTGGCCTTATTAGCACCAGAAAAGTCCCATGGCCTAAGGACATGAGGCAACGTGAGGATGGGAAGCAAAATATGGGTAAGGAGGTCATTCCTCCTGACACACAAAGTGCCAAATGTCATGTCCTCCCCAGAGTCACAGCAGAGTCTGTGATTCACCCCAGATTAAGCCCTGAGCAGAAGGTCCCTGCTGGCAGAAGTGGCTTGGGCTGAGCAGTGCCCTTCTCATGCAGAGGTGATCCACTCTGCAYCCCTGGTGTGGGAGTGCACTGAAATCTGCCCATTCTGGACACTCCACAGCTCTGCTGGACACTTCAGCTGCAGGAGTAATAATCTGGCACTGTTCACACTCTCTGTGTCAGCCTCAAACTCCAAACCAGGCTGTGGAAGCACAGGTGAGAAAGAAGAGGAAGACTAAGAGCCACTTACAGCCTCTACATCCTCATTTTTCAGTCCAAGTTCCCGGTCCTTTGCTCTGATTTCATCCCTCTGTTTATCTACCACCTCCTTCAGCTTCTTCATGACTTGCCGCTCTCTCTCTGACATCCCTGGTTAAAAACAAACACAGAGCACAAACTAAGGACAGTCAGGAGCTGCTGAGGTGGAGAATAATAACAATGAGAAATATTTAAGTAGACTCTGGAAAATGCCTGCTGGTAGAATTACAGAGATGCTTTAGAGGTTACGTCAAGGGTAACAGAGAACACAGATGACAGAATCCATTCCATAAAACCACTGCACAGAAACTCCTTAAAAAATGAACTGACAGTCCTCAGAAACATTTGTAACAGTGAGTGACACTGCTGCATCTTGCTGCCTTAGTAGTTTTACATCAATGTTCCACTGTGCCCCAGGGAGCGTGGTTATCTGTGTGATAATCTGTGGAATCAGCTGGCTGAGGCACTGTGACAATTGTAAAAAAGATGGTCTGGATCTTCAGTAAGATGTAAACACGTGGGAAAGGGACTGGTGGTCATGGCTGGCCAGGAATTATGTTCACAGGACATGTTCCTGTCAAACCCCAGAAAAGAACTGTCAGTGATATGGTGTTCGCATTCTAGTGTTACATTCTCATCTCTTTTAATTCTGTGATACATTTGCCTGCTCTATTTCTGGACCTGCTTTTTATCAGCTCTGTGCTGCTCTGGGTTCTAGTTCTTCACAGGATAATTTTCATTCTTTGCTGTGGTACCACATCAGGGAGAACAAGTGTCACAGACACAAACTGCTACATAACTTTTCTAAAAGATCCACATTCCTCTGACACAACACAGGTCTGGTACATCTCTGTACCCACAACCTCCTGGGTCCACTCACTGCAGCCAAYCTCAGGGCTGGGGCCTGAAACATCAGCTGTATGTAAAAACAAAACAATYCAAAACTTGGCCTTGAAGAAGAGGGACTACAGTGAAACTTTGGAATGGTGGTTTCACCCAGAAGGAGATAAGACTAGTGAATGCAGTGATATCCATTCRTACTTGTGAGATGCTTTGAGATCTCTAGATAGCAGGTGCTATTTAAAGTACCATTCAGTGCTGACTATTTTTCCTCCCACTGTGCTCATTTTTCTCCCTAACATTTGATGAACCTAAATGGCTTCAATTGTGTGCACAGATCACTATAAATTTTATTTCAAGAAGGGGGGAAAGGTGTTTGTGAAACAGTCACATCTCCTTCTATTTCCTCAGGCACTGCGAAAAAGGAGAGGGAAATCAYTAAGTGCCCTAAATGTAAAATAATTATCTCTAAATCGTTCAAACTCTAATAACTGCAAGATCTTAAATGGCACACCCAGTTGGCTTCCCCAGGCACATCCTATGAGCAGCTTCCTGTGGGTTGCTGTGATCACAGTGTTGTTCCAGCAAGAGAAAGGAAAGCAGCTGGAAGGGGAGGACACCAAAGACAGAAAGAAAAGAAACTGAAAAAAAAAAAAAAAGAACATTCTTTATGGTTAGGGATTTGTTCAGTGTTGTGTCCATACATCTCTCACTACAGGCCCAAGAGCCAGGCAGAGCCTGTGGCACTGCACCATTCCCAAATASTCAGAACAAGTTCAACTCCCTTTGAAGGGAACTGGAGGTGCTGCAGCACAGGAGGGTCACCCCCTGCTGCCATCCTGTCCCTGACCACAGCCWGGCTGAGCCAGCAGCTCCCCTGCAGTGACACAGCAGCCTGCTCGTCCTGTTTGACACACTTGGGTCAAGTTTGCCSGTGGCATTTTCCTGGGATATTCCAATCAGTCAGCACCAGCAAGCAGTGTTCTGTTTGGGCTTGGGAGGAGTCGCTTTCATGGGTGTTACAGACTCCTCTTTAACGYCTCCTGAGTGTTTTGTGTTCTCCACAGGTCCTTTCACGTGAACCCTGCTCTGCTCAGACTGCACAGAGCACTCCTGTTTGCACAGGGCTGCCTCTGCCTCTCCTGTGAACACTTCACCACGCTCAATGAGGCTCTGAGAATTAATTGGCAGGGTTGACTCTCAAGATCTTGCACGCCTGAATCAGTGGCCTCTGTTGCCTGTGTAGAATAATTCCTTTAACTGTCTGGTGAGTAAGCAGTGAGCTGCTGATCCCTGGGGCCAGCACTGAGGGGAGACATGATCACARTGCTAAAYCATGCTGAGATAGGAGCACTGGAATCTGCACAAAATTAGTCCAGCTTACACAGTATTTAGCTTGACAGCCTCGTCTGTGGACTCTACATCAGACCAAAGGACAGAGACTGAAAAAGAGCAGCAGAACTGCTTTCTGGCACTATCCAAACAACAGATTTGAGACAAATCTATCTATCCCTGCTCACTAATGACAAAATTACCCCTCCAAAAATAGTTAGGTTTGATATTATCAATCCCAATAATAAAATGGGGTTGATATAAATTAATGATTTCACTTAAACTGATTATTGTGGCCAAAGAATATGAGTGATCCCAGAWTCTAAGCTCTGGAATGGGCCTATGGGTTTTGTTTGTGTTGTTATACATGGGCAGACACAGTAAAAATAACAAGAAAAGCACGTCTGGCATTTACTTGGCTGGCTGGATGTGAAGAGTATGGCTATATTTAAATGCAAGCACATGAGCTGCAGTGAGCTAGATAGCCACTGGAAGGGAAAAAAAAAAAAAAAAAAGGAGTATGGCTATATTTAAATGCAAGCACATGAGCTGCAGTGAGCTAGATAGCCACTGGAAGGGAAAAAAAAAAAAAAAAAAGAAAACAAAGGGGAAGCTGGTTCTTTAAAACATTATGTCAGTCTTCAAGGTCCATGAATCATCAGTGCCATTCTGAATTTTGCATGGAGTTTGTCAGCCTGATGCTGAGCTACTTCTTTGCCACTAATTGACTCCTAAATTGAAAGCATTTCATTTGTTTTAAAAAGTATCTTGAGAGGTTTAACAATTTTTACTTTCTGGAGGATTCATTACTCTCTTCCCCAGGGAAAGTGAGCAGTGCTGAGCCTCGGGGAGAGAGCAAGTGCAACTTCCTCAGTGTGGGACAGTTTTATCCACCTCCAGCAAGCCTCCATTTGATCCCAGCCTCTGGAGGCTGGAAAAGGATATCCCTTCATTCCTAATGCTCATCGGAGAGCTGTGAGCTCTGCTTTAAGAGGACTCAGGACACCGTCAAATGGACTTGRGATCTCAGAGCCTCAAATTCTGTGTTGGGAATGGTGGAGCAAACAGATATCTGTTCCTCTGCTCCTGGAAAAGAGCAGTTGGCTGAGCTGTGGGYCGGAGCTGAGGCTGGCAATTGTTTCAGTTGCTGCAGTGAGATCTAKCTGTACTTGCAGGTTTGTCTTGAATTTCATCCTGCCTCAAGAAAAAAGTTGCCCACAAATGGGTTGTTTCAACTCTGTAGGATTCACCTATTCCCTGGATTATAAATCTCCTCACTTATTCTAAATTAGCTGTAAGTCCCAAAAAGAGGCAGGTAAATCAAGTAAAACCAGTATCTCCTCTTCTAGGAGACTATCATGATATTCTCCTAGAATATATCCGTGCAGGGGACTGATACAATTTTGACAAAGGAATCTTGATGTGCTGCTTTACAAACAGTTATCCTGAACAGATCAACAGTTGCACTTGTTTTAGTGCATAATGTGTGAAATAAACRCTTGAATGGATTATTCTGTTTGTATTAAAAAAACATAAAGTAGGCTTAAGATTGTTTTTTTGCAAAATGAGAACCAAAACAAGTGATAGACCAAGAAGTGTATCTAGATTTTACTTCCAGAGATGCTTGTCAGCCAAACAAAAAGTTAGTTTTCTTTCCCTTGTCCCTCCATCTCTTATCATATCATCAGTGTCATCATGTATTCAGAGATTTTCTATTCAGGTAAACATACAAATAAACAAACAAGCCTTCAAAACCTAGATCTGCCTTAATCTACAGGAAAAAAACTGTACAAGAATATCCAGTCAAAGTATTTTGATAAAGTATTKCTTTTTGTAACGAAGCAAGTACTGAATTTGAAGTATCAAACTTGCCTTCATGCTTCTGAAATTCCTCTTCTGTGAAATTAATGTCTTTGTGAGATAAGTTTGTCATCAGTTGTTTATTCTCCTCCTGCAGCTGTGCAATTTGGGTAAGAAGATCCTGTGCTTCCCCTCTCCAGACATCCTCCACCAGTTCTAATTCCTATAGGGTAGATCAGGACAACACATTTATATTTTTAAACATGTTAAGAGTCTTTGGCTGGACTATTTACAGATCAAACTAGTAATGACCCTACTGATTCTTACAGAAAACAATTAAATGAGACTTCTTTGAGTTGCTTAGAAGACATCTGCTTTTCTAATGCCACCAACAGGACACCAGCCATCACAGTGCCCTTTGCTATATGCTGAATGTAAATACTTGAGTGGATCATTCCTGATGCAAACATTTTTGATGTGCCAGTTACCCTAAGGATGGCTCCTTGTTCTGATGGGAGGACCAGATTCTGGGGGCTGCTGTGTTAGACAAATAACCAAACAKCAATTCCCTCCTGCATCCCAGGAAGCAGCTGCAAAGCTGTTAGAAATGCCCCCAAACCATCCCACAGCGAGAGCCAGGGACTCAGGGGTGAACATGCTCGATCTGACAGAACAACCTGTGTGGTCTAAACTCCTGTTATGAAACACAAGTGTAAATTGATGAGTGTGTGATCCAGTGCAGCAAAGCCAGGGCTTGGGGTGCACGTGGTAAACACAAGCCTAGCCCGTGCTGCTTCCTATGTAAATTGTTCCCTTGGAATGTCCTGAGCGGTGTCTGTGTGGTGGCAGTGAGGCCAGTCAAAACAGCTCCCATTTGTCGGGACACTCTGTGTCAAGAGCAGCTGTCACCAATCCTCAGAAAGGTCAAATTAGGACAAAAAGTAAAAAGTTCTGAAGGAAAGCAGTTGTATTTAGAGCTTTGCTTGTTCCAAAAGCTTCTCTGTATATCTCACTCCTGTAGTGGGGGGCATTCCCTGCTCCATTTTCACGCGTGTTTTGCTGCATGCAAATCCCTGGAGCCAGGCTGAGTCACTGCTGACTTTCACATCCATCCACATGCCCCTTTCCTACCTAACAACAWAACACATTCAGACAACAACCCAGCCAAGCACAGCTCGAGGCTAAAATAAGCTCTGCTGAGAGATTAAAGGAGAGCTCTCTGCTTTGAATGTATGCTCGGATAATGGGAAGTCATGTTTGGGTCCAAATGCCATTTTATTCCACCATTTTTTACTGTATTGCTGYTAAAAACATTGCAGAAAACATCATGTGGCAAAGAATAATGAATAACAAAGGCGTGGTAAGCTATGCAGATTTAACTATCAAAAAGGAAATAAAATGTCATTAATCACCTATTTTATTTAAATCTCTTTATCTCAAGAGAAAGGTAAATCTGTCAGGAAATTTATATTACCAAATACCTGGACTATTTACAGTGATGCTGCCTGTTACAACTCTGTAGCTAAAATAACGCAGTGACCTATTTTAGCAACAAACCAGCACATTCATCACTTACAGGTATATTGATAAAACCAAATYMGAATGCACACAAMCCCYCAAACCATCTAAACTTATGCCATTTATGTGTGGCTGCACTGTAAACACACATCTACCCTACRGTTTGCTTAGGCAAACTTTGTCATYTATTGCTGTTGAARAGCCCAATGAATTGGAGCAGAAATTAACTTCTGAATCCTCATTAATGGAAGTGCCAGACAGGGGAGGCACATCCACTGCCAGGCAGTGCCAGCCAGCTCAGGAAGCCCCAGGCAGTGGGTGCTGAGCCAGGTTTACATGCAAAACACATTTATACATAAAGTTTAAGTGCTGAAATCTCATAAACTGATGCTTGCAAGGACCCCTAAAAGCTTTCAGGGTGGTTTTTTTGAGGCTTTGGGGTCAGAACTATTTCTCACTCTCTGGCTTTTTCTGCTTATCAGCATCTGTCCTGTGAAAGAGTCTTCAAACCTTCACATCGGAACAGAGAAGATGTGAGACCACAGTTCCACAGGCACCTGGAGCACTGGGAATCAACTTGATTAAAAAAAAGGTATCTATCATGTAGATTATTTTCCTGTTAAAATATATTTTCACTGAAGTTTCATGTGGCTTGTGCAAACTCTCCCTGAGCCACTTCATGATCATCAGAGAAGCTGACAGAGCAGAGGTGGTTGACTGGCAGGGAGATCAGCTGACATATTTAGGAAACTTTTTAACACTTAATAAGAACTTCACAAACATCTACACAGAACAACCTAAATGACACTGGGTCAGTTAGGTATCCACTTCACCCACAGCCTTTGGTAAATATCCMATATACTTGTATCTATTCTCTAAASTTTCTTATTTCATACTCYTGAGACTTACCAAGGCTTTCTAYATTAAAGGTGTTTTACCATCCTTTTCAGAGATATTGCCCTGAGACTTCCTCTGCAAAATGCTGCAGGGTTTATCCTGGATTTTCCATATGCTAGGTGAAACTCCTGACTCTTCTTAAGAGATAAGACTGGGATTTATTTAAGTTAAAGCCAAATATTGAAGTTTGGAGTCTCTTTTCCAGAAATCCCTTCTCCTCTTTATCCCGATTCTGTGTGTGGAATCAGGAATGGCATGAGGCAGCGGTGATGAATTAGCACAGCCATTTACTAGAAGAACCACTTCTTATATCAGTTATCCGGATGGATTAAAGAGTGGATCTGCCACTTTTACTGCAGTAACTGGAGCGTGCTGTCCTGCCAGAAGAGGCTGACAGGATGGGAAATGCTCTCTGCCTTGGGCCTTCATGGYAGTGGGATCAGGGAACGCTATGACCACCCCTGAATAAGGCAAGGGACATCCTGCCATCAGAGGATGGAGCAGCAAYCTGGCAGAGTGCTCTTTGCTACTCTTCAGCTTCAACTCTGCTCCGAAATCACTTGGTTCTCCATCTCCCTCCTAWGACTTCTCTAACCCGAAGTCTGTGCCAGGACAACTAGACAGCTAAATCATTCCCRGCTCCGGAGAGGAAAGTGTATTCTTGTCAGTGACCTTTCCTGGCCTAGCAGGAAGCAGCACTATCCTCTCGTCAGGAGAGGGGATGGAGCAGGACTCCTAATCGGGAATACACAGGGGAAGGAAATGCAGTGACTGGGGAAGGGGTGGAGAAAGGGAAGGAGGGAGGAAACTTCCAGGAGGGAAGGAAACAAAAAACAACAACACGCCCAAAGCCTCAGCGACGCTAAAGCAGCATCCGCGCAGAGCCCGTGAGCCCGCCCGGGCTGTACCGCACGCGTGCCCCGCCCGCTCCCCCGGCTCCGCGGCATCCCGGCCCGCAGCCCGGCCTCCCCCTTTGTTTGCCCGGCGGCGGCGGGGGGAGAACGGCGGCGGGGGAGCCGGGGCCCGCTCCCCCCGGAGAGGCTGCGGCAGGCGGGGGCAGCCGTGCCCCGCCGCGTCCCCCCGGCCCCCGCCCGCACCTTCTGGTGCTTCCGCTCCTTCTCGATGCGGTCCATCCTCTCCAGGCGCAGGCGGTCGAGCTCCAGGCGCAGCTCCTCCATCTCGGGGTTGATGTGGTTGCGGCTCACAAGCACCTCCAGAATCTCCAGCACCCGCACCACCTTGGGCATGAGGCGGGCGATGGCCTCGCAGCCGTGCTGGTCGATCACCCGCTCAAACTCCTGCCCCACGGCCGAGGCGATGTCGTACACATCCATGACCGTCAGCTCCGCCGCGTTCTTCTCCAGGGCGGGCGGCGCCCCGCCGCCGCCGCCGTCCATGGCTCGCCCGGCCCCGCGGTGCCCGCATAGGCGGCGGCGGGACGCGCTCCGGGCGGGGCGGTCCCCCTGCAGCTGATCCCGCTGTCCCCCGCAACTCCCGCCAACTCCGGACGGCTCGGCCGGGGGTGTTTAAACTTGGCCGGGCGGTGCTGGGGGAGCGGCGGCGGGAGGCGGGCGCGGCGTCCCCGCCACCACCGCCCCGCCGCCCGCGGCCAATGCCCGGCACAGGGCGGGCCGGGGGCGGCCCCGCGCATGCCCGGGCTCCCGCACCTCCCGGTTCTCGGGGTGATTCCCGCCGCTTTCCGGGGAGATCCCCACCGGGGCAGTCACTGCTTTGCTCGCGGTGAGGAGAGGAGCATCTCCAAGCTCTTGGCTCGATACTTGTGCCGAGCATCAACGGGAGGACTCGCGGTACCGACCTCTCCGGCGGCCTCATCCGGGCGGGAGAACCGCGAGTTTGAGCGGGCAGAGCGAGGTTCGGATCCCGCACAGACGATGTCCAGCGCTGGAGCGGATTTGCAGCAGGGGCAGGGACACACAGCAGTTTCGGTGGTACCCACAGCGAGCGCAGTGTCCGGGACCAGGAGGGGAGGACGGTGATSTTCCCCTGCTCCCGAAGAGGACACAGGCAGCCGGGTGGCTGCAGGCACACGGGATGGGGTGAACAAACCATTCTGCAGCACAGCAAGGGGCTCGCACACAGCAGCTCTTCCTTTTGTGCAAGAGCACAAAAAGAGTCTTTACTGTGCACATTTTCAGGGGACCGGTGAAGATTTTACACCTACAAGMAGTTTGCTGCACGGATCCACTTGCAGAGGAATTTAAATTAAAACAAAATGTATTTTTATGGTCAAGTTTTTCAGTATTCTTGCTTTTAAGTGTCACTGTGAACATTTGAATGTTCTTATTTTCATGGGGTTTAGGAAGAGGTGCTCTATATGAGTGTCTACAGATAGGTTGAATGTGTCTGGAAATAACTTAGGTTCTAATCCTGCCATTTGCTGTATGCAGAGTAGGAAGAATGCATTTTATTTTGGATAAGCTATGAAGAATAATGTCAAACACTGGAGTCAGGAGAAATAACACTGGGGACACAAAAGCCAAGCTGCATATTGTGGGCAGCCAGGAGGGGAACAAATCAGTCCCCAAAYACTTGAGCYTGGCATTCAAYTGCYTAAGTTAGAGCAATAATCAGTGATRTCCGGTGAAAATATATCAATATATCATTCATGAAACGTACTCCCAAAGCTGAACACCACAGGATATTGCACAAAGTTCCAGGGAAAGCAGGAGGATGAATAAGGATGTATTCATCCTTTCCTGGCAAAGGCTCTTACTAACACATGAGGAGGGGAAGCAGCCTGAGCAGAATATTTGGAGAACACTCCAATACCTTAGGGGAGCTGTGAAATCATCATTTTTCCCAAGTTAGAGATGAGAAAAAGAGTTTCTGCCACAAGAATTTAGCAATACACGAGTTCCCATTGTCCTGTTCAAGCGCATGCAGAGAAAAAATGTAATAATGTAGAGAACACATGTGGCAAGACTAAAACTACTACAGAGACAGGTGAAAAACCAGCATTTTGTGTTGTGGGAAGCATTAGGTTCRATATTGGCCTGATCCAAACTCATTGAAAACCGCTTGGCAGGAAAAGTCTCTTATCCAGCCACGTACGTGACCTGRAGCTCCTCAGGCTCAGCTTGTCTTGCAGAATTTTGTCCACACTTGTCCACGCCCTGTACCTGCACTGACACAGCAGCTCTGCTGGCTCACACCTGGAGCTGGAGGGAGAGAGTGGAATGAACTGATGGAAATCCAGCATTTGTCCAGACAAACGCATCTGAGTGTCACCAGGAGTACAATAACCAGCGCTTACCGGCAAACCCAACACGTAAATATTTCAATGGAAAGCCAGATCGTGTGTTAGTCTTTAATTCTTCACATCATTAAAACAGCTAGTCATGAAACAGGCTGCCTTGAACTCAAGCATGAACTCATGTATTTCTGCTTGGAAGGTTTAATTGGAAATTAGTGCTTAAGCATGGTCATRGAAGGAAYGAGTTTTTAAACCATTACTYTYGGGKKAAGCAGAAACTGGACGTGCCATGATTGTGTTTCCTTATGCGTGAACAGCTGACAAGCTGGGCTTCCCTGTCAACGCCTTAAAAGTCGGGTGCTTTTTAAACCTCTCCAAGTTCGGGTTTTTCGGGTTTCGACAGCCGTGGTGACAACAGCCGTGGTGACAACAGCCTTGCCTCTGTCCCGCCTGCCCTCATTTCCCCCGGAGCCGTTCGCATCCCTCAGGAGCCGCCGCCCCCCCATCCCCTCAGCCGCCGTTTCCCGCCTCCCGCGCTCGCGCCGCCCCGTTGCCAGGCAACGCCCCCTCATCCCGYTCTGCCCGCCGCTCCGCGCGCCCCGCTCCGATTGGCTCCCGCCGCCACCTCCCCGCCTTTSCTCCCCGCTCATTGGCTGCCWCCACCAGCGGGCTCCGCCTCCAGCGCCGCGCGGGCGCTGCCTCAGCGCTTTGGCGGTCCCGATGTCTTTTGTCCCTCGGWGGGCGCCGTAGCACAGTCCGTACGTGGCAGCGGGGCGGCGGTGGCCAATGAGCGGCGGCCCCGTGCGCCGGAAGGGGCGTGGCGCGGGCCGGAAGCGCCGCTCGGTGCCGCCGCCGGTCGCTCCGCCATGTCGCCGGTGCGGGCGGTGCTGGCGCTGGTGGCCGCGCTGGCGGCCCCGGCCGCCGCCTACTTCGTCAGCATCGACGCGCACGCCGAGGAGTGCTTYCTGGAGCGCGTGCCCTCCGGTACCAAGATGGGGCTCATCTTCGAGGTGGCCGAGGGCGGCTTCCTGGACATCGACGTGGAGGTGCGGCGGCGGAGCGGCGCGGGCCGGCCTTGGGGAGCGGGGCCGTCCCGGGGCCGGGCCCCCGCTGTGTGTGGGGTTCCCCCGGGGGCGAGGGGCGGCACCGGCAGGAGCGGGATCAGACCCGCCGGGGGGGTTTGGGATGGTCCGGAGCGGGGTCGGAGCCGCCCGCCGGGGATTGGGGCTTGGGGCGGGCCCGCCGCGCTGCGGGCCTTCCGTACGGCGGGAGAACCCACGGCTCGGYGTGTGCGGCCTCGGGCAGGCCCCGGTGTCATCCGTGCCACTGCTGCACGGGCCTGTGCTGCTCCATCTGCCCACCCTTCCCCTGGGATTTTCATCTCATTCCGCTCGGTGTAGACTCCTCATAGTAAATTATTTGGCGGGAAGGGTGACCAGGGTTGCGCTCTGGAATTCGGTGCTGCCTGTTGAGGRGCAGCGTGTTTCCCCTTGAATCCGAAGGTGTTGTCTTTAATCAAGGGTGGTTGGCATCGGGAAAGTTGTGAGTGAATCCTTATCTTCAAAGGGATCAAATCAGCGCTGAGTAGGAATTTCTTTCATGGTGTTGTAGAGCAGACAACTGTTGAGATATCGCTGAGAATCGTGGAACAGTTTAAAATGGTGCGTGGCTGTGGCACAGGGCAGGGTCTGGAAGCTGTGAGATCCCCTTCCCGTGTCACCAGKGGAAGCTCAGCAGCACTTTGGCATGGTGGGGTGAAAATCTGGGATCACAGTGACCCTGAGAGCTCAGAACCAAGGTCTGCAGTCCATTTGAAATGGTGACTGYAACAAAGCCCAACAGTGACTAAAGTCGATTGGAGAATGTCTTTTTTTTTTTTTTCTTTTTTGTTTTCCTTCAGACATCAGAGATAAGGTTTCCCCTAAAGTTGTTCATTTGACAAASAGCCAGGGTTTGTGGTTTACTTGTTCTCGAGCGCTTATCTTGACCACAGGAGGCCAGTGAGAGAGGCTTTTGTATGACTTTCTTTACCAAGAAGTTTGTGGGGTTATTTTAGAAAGATTTCTATGCAGAAAGCTGCACTGGTGAGTTGTGGGAGGGAAAGATTGCAGCGTGCCAAAGCAGCCAGATTACAGCTGGTGTTGGTGCCTGTGGCTSCCTGACTGCAGAGCTGGCAGAGCTGTGATGGTGCATTTGAAACCTCTGTGTTTGAAATAAAAAACGTGTCAYCCTCTGTTTTCCCCACGCAGATCACAGGCCCTGATAATAAAGGGATTTATAAAGGYGACCGAGAGTCCAGTGGAAAATACACCTTTGCTGCCCACATGGATGGAACTTACAAGTTTTGCTTTAGCAACAGGATGTCCACCATGACTCCCAAGATAGTGATGTTCACTATCGATATCGGGGAAGCTCCCAAGGGGCAGGACATGGAGACAGAAGGTGAGGAAGAGTCCTGGAAGGAAATCAGCTCTGCTTCAGGAGCTGTTCCCTACGTGTATGAATTGGGAACTTGAGTAGGGCTCTCGGGATTCCCGCTCCTTCAGGTGTAATTAGCTGTTCTCTTGCACAGCTAAAGTGGATGTTTTTAGACTTTATTATATGATTTAATACAAAATCACCAGAGAATCCCTTGGCCATCTGCAGAAACTAATGCTTCCATCCTTTAGCCCTTCATCAGTGCCATCCTCTGATTTCCAGTAGGCTCAGCAATACGTGGCCTTCTCCATGCCTTAGTTGATAAATGTGCTAATATAAAACCTTTCCCATAGCTGTGTAAATGAGTGTTTTATCTGCAGCCTTTTGTCCTGTACCTGTGTTCATCTCTCACACTTTCCTCTAGGTGGTGGAGATACCTGGGATGGTATGTGGACTGCTTTTTGAAAGCTCCTTAGCATCTTGTCTCTGGCACATGTTCATTSACTAACAGCTAACTTGGCTTTTTCTCTCTGTAACATTGGTTTGTAGCATGAGAATGTCTTTTTAATAAACTACCTAAAAGGTCTGATTCTGAGCAATGCTGAGCACCTGCAGGCTCCTGTTGGCAGGTTTGATACCCTGAGCAGCTCTCCAGGATCAGGTCCTTGYCCTGGCCATGGCAGTTTGTCTTCAGATGGTTATTTATGGCTGACAGAAGGTTTAACCAGGAGTTTAGGTGAAATTGAACTAAAAAACTGAAATCCAAGAACGCTGGATATTTTTGGCAGTGTTTGCTTTCCATTGCTAAAGGGGATGTTGAGTAATCAAGAGATTTTGGAAGCAATAAGCTGCTCGTAGGGTATGAATTATTACTGATGTGTCAGGGGAAAAACTAAAACTTGTCATTTGCTGATTAAAAAAAAGATACATTGCACAGCAAGTTATAAAGTTTATTTAAAAATTGCTAACTGTAGCTAGAAAGGGAACAAATTCTTATTTTCTATTTTAGCARGTAAATAACTGAGGGCGTTGAGTGCTTGATGTCACTTAAAAACATTCCTAACTTTTGATTTCTTTTAAAGACTCGCTTAACTATTTTATTGAGTCTGCACATATCTATTGTAAAGAATGTTAGTGCAATGAGGCAATTTCCTGAAGTGAATTTTTTGAGTGTTTAGACTATCCCTGCAACTGTAGTTTCTTCTCTTACTAATAAACTGCCCTCACTGCAATGACCACGTTGGCCATGAAAATAAGGGATTTATGATRTTAGCAAAGAGAGTGTGATTTGCACAACAATTTAGATTTTAATTGTAGCTTGTATGAGTTTTATTCTCTGTTTTTTTTGACTGTTCCCCCCAAGGTGTGTGTTTTGAATAGCTCTGTTTTCAGACTGTGATCTGAAACACTTAACTTACAAATAAAACTGTAGTGAGGTACTTTCCAAGTTAGGATGTCCCTTCAAAGGAAAATGTGCTGGGTTTTGTGACTTTTAAAGAGAGCTGATTGCCCAGGGCCTGTCTRTGCAACAATAGCTCAGCCTGATGCTAGAAAACTTTGCAAATGACTTGCCTAATTTATAAATTTGTGAGTGGACAGTTCTTTGAGCGTGGATGTATTAAAAAGATCCCGTGATTGACAGCAAAACCACTAAATCTTAAATCTCYGAGCCTTTGATTTGCTGAACTGTCTCAGGCTGGTTTTGTGTTCCTGGTTTGGTATTTAACTCCTCTCCTGCTTTCACAACACACCAGAAGTGAAGCCTGTGCCAGGCCCCCTGGGCATTGTGCCCTCTGAATGCTGGGCTTCAGCTCAACCTGAAGATCACACCATGTGATTTGTTGCTTCAGAAAGTGATCTCATTTGCCAGCATCATGATCTTAAGCTAAATTCTCAGTCATTCTGTTTTTGCAAGCTTAACAACTAGGAAAAGCTGTCATGTTAAGATAATTTGCTTGGAATATATTGGATAATATTGGCAAAATAGATATTAGCGTGTGGTATTGATCTTGTGTGTTCTTCCATTCTATTTTTTCTGGAAAAGTATATGCACACTGCAAGAAAAGGGGTCTGTCCTGAGTCTAAATTGTGTCTGCTCCTATTTGGATGGGTAGAAATGTTTTCCCACTTGTTAAATGCCATAGAGATCCATTAGGGAACGTGGTGCTACAAAAACTAAACTTGGCTGTAAGGATAAAAAGTGTTCAGYTGTACTGACTGCCTTTGTCAGAACTTCTGCAGCAGGAAATTACCTTTAACTGTTCATAAATTCGCTGAAATTGTTTTCTCAGTCATTAACAGACTTTCTGACTCTTCTGAAATTATTCTGCAGCTCATCAGAACAAGCTAGAAGAGATGATTAACGAGTTAGCAGTGGCCATGACAGCTGTAAAGCATGAACAGGAGTACATGGAAGTGCGTGAAAGAATACATAGAGCAAGTACGTGTCTGACTTCAATCAATGCCTTCTCCCCTCTTAAAGGAACTTGTGAATTGTGATTTAAATAKGACTCCATCAAAGCTATTCTAAAAAAAAATAATTCAAATTCTGAAGGGTCTGTTTAGTGTAAAGAATGTAGGTGTTGCTTGCAGTCATCTTTTAAATTGGCTTCCTCTCATGTAATGAGGGTTGTTCTGCAAAATAACATTTGCTGAAGTGCTGTAAATTCTGTGGTTGCTTGAATGGTGCATTKGTGGAAATACCAGTGATGAGATTATTTAATCTGTGTGCAAGGGCTTGTAGGGACAGGACAAGTGGGGATGATTTTGAACTGAGAGGAAGTTTAGATTGGATAAACTAAAAAAGAGGATAATAAAGTAAAATAAGGGGAGAAATTCTTCCTTGTGGGAATGCTTAGGCCCTGGCACAGGTTGYCCAGAAAAGCTGTGGCTGCCCCATCCCTGGAATTGTCCAAGGAAGGTGTCCCTGCCCATGACAGGGGTGGGACTGGATGAGTTTTAAGGTCCCATCCAACCCAAACTATTCCATGATTCCGTTCCCAAGGGTCGACTTTGGTTGAACTGTTACTTCACTCTTGAARTGGATGTGGTTTAATAATTGAGCCAAAGTATTTTTTTTTCAATGTTTTGTTGAAATAGAGCAGAACTACTGTTACTTCCATGGGTGAGAATTGAGAGCAATCATTTTTAATGTGAAAATACAACATTTTATAAAAGCACTGTCTCCTCAATCATTTGGAGCTATGCCTATCTCCAGTTTTGTGACATTTGTCATTAATGGTCTGATTTAAGGAAAATCTGAATGATTAGAACCAAAAACAGTGACCCTTCAGGGATTAGAAGTTCCCTACTTGGATTTGAGACTGAAAAAACACGAGGCTTTTTTGGCAGCCCAGAGGCCAAGGAAGGTGGGCAGAATAGTGAAAGATTCTGCAGTGTGTGTCCAAAATTGGTTTAAAAGCAAACTGCTCAGAAAATATCCTCTTCAGATTTCATCTCTGAGGCTGTAGGACCCTTCTGGGATGCCTTTAATGACCTGACACAAACCCCAGTGTTTTATGTGCAGTGTTCCAGTTCCCACAGCAGAATGTTTTGAATTTCAGTGCTTTGTTACTTACTCCTTTTTTCTTTTTTTTTCCCCCCAACAGTTAATGACAACACAAACAGCAGAGTGGTTCTTTGGTCATTCTTTGAAGCCCTTGTACTAGTTGCCATGACACTGGGACAAATCTACTACCTGAAGAGGTTTTTTGAAGTCCGAAGGGTGGTGTAAGATCCTTCTGTGGTCCCGGATTTCAGTTCACTCTCTACCAAACATCCTGGTCACAAAAAAAAAAAAAAAGTCATTTAGTTTCTCAACCCTCTTTACTGAACTGTAAAACTTATTTGCTTATGTTCCTTCCTAGTTAAAAAAAAAAGAATTGTTTTTATATATCTTCTGTAGCAAAAGCTGTGCTGAAATCTTGTCACTTTATTGGCATCATATTTTTCCACTGAGATCTGCCCAGTCTGTGTGCTAAGCCAGGTCCAGGCAAGCTGTAAACGCTGTAACTCACTCTATAACAAGCTGTTAATGTCTTTTCTAACTTTTTTTYCCCTGTTTCCATGAGCACTTGCAGTTCTGTCCAGGGAAACGGTACAAGGCCCTAATGTGTCTGTTTGCATTTTGACATCCTTAACCCTTCAGTAGGTGTTATGAAATTGAAATAATCCCTCCTCCRCTCACATAAACTGCCAAGGAAAAGTTTAAAATTCATACCTAGTTGCTATTTAAAAGCTAAAATCATCAGCAACTGTCTTAATTGTATCAACTTCTTCCCAAAGTTCTTTTAAATTCAATGGTTGCTRCGAAAATTCTTTTTCTCTGCTCATCACCAAATGTTCCTTACACGGTTTTTAGTCTCTCAAAGGTTTTATTTGGAAGCCAATTGTGTGCAGTGTCTTGGTGAACACTCGTGAACCCTTTGGCTTTTGCAGGTCCAAAGCTCAGACTGTTTGCCCAGTGCCCAGGGCATAAATGTTCAGGAAATCTGGGTTCCTGATGCCAAAGGGTTCCGGATTTTGGGGGTTTAATCCACGCTATGCAGCCCTTGTATTTAAGTGCAGTGGCAAACTCTGCCATGATCTGATCAGAATTAGCATAATGCTAAATACTGGTGTGTTTTCTTTTTTCAGGCACATGTAGATTTGTTTTTGTATAAAGTTACTTTCCTCGGTTATCTGATGATTGGTTTAAAAATTTTAAGAAGCGTCTGATGTGGGTGCTGAGCCAGGATTATGTTGTGACTGATGTATATTAGTTGTAATCATTTTTGGGGGYGGGGTGGGGTCTTTTCCAGGGGGGAGCCTCTACAAGTAACACACAACAGTTTTGTACAATTAATTTAAAATTTGTTACAGGTTTTCATGTTCCAGGTAAAGTTTTTTCAACCTCGGGCAAACAATTGCAGCAGTTCTTCAGAGAGGTGGCTSTTACACCTTATTGCAACTGTTGTGTGCCAATATTTTTGTGTAAAACACTGAAAATTGAATTCTAAGATGTACATTTAAAAATTGCTCGTGAATCTAAATATGACCCAGGTTCGATAAATAAACAAATTCTTTAAAAAAAAAGAAGCTTTGTGGTTTTTTTTTTTTTTTCTTTGATACCTTGAGGAAGTACAGATTAACTAAAAGGGGTTTTTATGAAGTATTTGTTTAGTAATGGCCATAAATTAAACCACAATGAGTTCCATATCAACATGAGGAAGAAAGCACTGCAATGGCCTTTGTAATCCTAAAGATTCTGTGATTCCCTGCTTGTTTAAGATGTCAGGAATTTATCTGAACACCATGCCAGTGTTGGCTGGTAGAATAAATTTCAGGTGGTTCTTAACTTACATCTCAGGTTCTGGGTGGTCGGTTGGCGCAGGGCTGCTGTGTGACCCGCAGATGCGTTTACTGAAAATGGGAATTTTTTGCCAAATCCAAAGTTTGTTCGCTGCGGAGGCAAAGCCCGGCGGGGGTGGCGGAACCGATGCGCAGCGGAACGGGAGGTGCGGCGGTGGCTGTTTCCGGAGAGCCCGGGGGGAGGTTCCCGGGGCGGGGGAGCGGAGGGGCGGTGACACCGCCGGGCCAAGATGGAGGCGGTGACTGAGGGCAGCTGGAGCTCGCTGCCGGTAACGCTGAGCCCGGGAGTGCTGCGGGCGCTGCGGGAGCTCCGCTTCCACCAAATGACCCCGGTGCAGGTGCGGGGCTCCGCGGGGATCCCGGGGAAGGGGCGGCCGGGCTGGGGAAGGAGGGCGCGGGCCGTGTCAGGCGCGGGCCGGTGTYGGTGCCTCAGCAGTCACCGGGTCCTGTAAGAGCGAGAGAAGCCTCCGGTCCTGTAACAGCAAGAGAAGCTTCATCCGTGGCTTTTCCACCGGCTCTGCTTGGCTGATGTTCACAGCGAGCTCTGATGTCTCGGAGGAGTTTCACCTCGGTGAGATTTACCACAGATTCACCTGCTCATGTGATGCTTYTCTTTTTTCAGTCTGCGACCATCCCGCTCTTCATGAGTAACAAAGATGTTGCTGCAGAAGCGGTGAGCGATTTTCCTTGGTCCAGTTTGTTGTTTTCCTGGTTTATCTCTGGAGCTGAGGGAGGGCTGACGCTGTTTCCACTCTCGCAGGTCACAGGCAGTGGGAAAACCTTGGCATTTGTGATTCCCATACTGGAAATCCTTCTCAGACGGGAAGAAAAATTAAAGAAAATGCAGGTGAGATTGAATTATTCAGTTCTGAGTATATTTTTATGACGTGCTGATAAGATTTGAGGACTTCAGGGAAAGTATCCATAAGGAAAATTGCATACACGTACAGCAACAGTGTGCTCAGCTCTTTAAAATGTGAAAATAAAATTGGGGTGCTTTCATTGCACTTATATAAAGCTGCTATTTGACATGATCAAAACAGGGTTCTGAGCTGTTAGAAAAGTATTCCAAAATACAGAATACACTGATGCATTGCAAGTGGAGCTTTGAATACTTTTTTGCATCCACTGACCTTGAATATATTGTAATGTGCAGGGAACTTTRCTGTCATTTGCTGTTAGATGTCATTATTAGATGCTGCTCTTTGAGCAGAGATATTTTGCACATTGGTATAAAATATTTCCTAGACTTTTAAAAATGTTTTTTTCTACTTCATTGTATTTTTGTGGAAATATTTGTCTAAAACCAGGTTCAAAATCATGGCTCATGTTCACTTAGATTGTTAGGGAGAATTCTGCCAAATCTTTTTTTTTTGCCCCACAAATTCCTGTTTTTTGTATGCAGGTTGGAGCTATAATTATCACACCAACGAGGGAATTGGCCATTCAAATTGATGAGGTGCTGTCACATTTCACAAAACACTTCCCCATGTTCAGGTGAGTGAAATTCATGCTTTCCATGCCCATTGTTCCTTCTGTCACTCACAAACCAGCAAAACTTAAAGATGACCCAAACCTTTCTGTTTTATTGTTTTAGTCAGATTCTCTTAATTGGTGGTAGGAACCCCATAGAAGATGTTGAGAAGTTTAAGGAACATGGGTGAGTTGTTTTGTCAGTAATTTTTATCAGTGTCTCAGAGCTGTGGTTTTCTCCTTGTCGGGGTTTTCAGAGCAGAGCTTTGGTTCCAGCTGATGCTGGAATGGGGTGGTTATGCCAGAATCTGTTGGGATGTGCTGGGAAATTGTGGGGTCTGTTCCTGGRGTGAGGTACAGCAGGAGAAAAGGCTCTTATGTGACATCAGCACCATTTACCTGCTGTTTAAATGGAGAACAGCTGAAAACTGTCTCCACTGCATATTTCACTTCTCCCTGCTCATTAATTTTCTGGAATTGTTTGGTGCTGATASTGATGATGAAGTTTTGAAGGACTCATATTTGCACGGAACTACCAAATATTTCTCATAGCTGACAGTTGCTTCCCATACTTGCTGATTATTTTCTAAACTTTTAGTACCACAAGGGWTGTGCTTTTACCTGGGTGTTTTCCTCCCATCCCATGGCATCTAAAAGGCACTGAAATCTGGATGCAGTTAGAAGGGACAAAATGAAATAGTTTTAGTGAAGAATGCAGGGCAGGCTCATATTTGCTCACGTTTAGGGAATTGCTCTGTGTGTTTGTGTTCACCAACAGTGGGAACATCATCGTGGCCACCCCRGGTCGCCTGGAGGATCTGTTCAGGAGAAAAGCTGATGGGCTGGACCTTGCAAGCTGTGTGAAGGCTCTGGATGTGCTGGTTTTRGATGAAGCAGACAGACTTCTAGATATGGGCTTTGAAGCAAGGTATTGAAAACATAAATTGTYGTGGTTCTTCTGCAGTTTTAAATGAGTTCATGTGTGATGGATGTGCATGAGTGTGGCCTGCAATAACCTACAAAGTTAGATTTGTGTTCTTTTGTTCTTTCATGTCTCTTTGCTCTGTAACCACAAAACGGTTGCTAAGGGGGAAGAGAATCAGGAAATGGGGAGCCCTGATGAATACAGAGTTTCCTTTCTTGAGATGTTTATTAGCTTATCTCTATTAATGCTTGGGTAAATATCATTATTTACACACCAGAATGGCTTAAAACACTCTAACAAATAGGCTTTGATCTCTATTTTCTCTTTCTCTCAAAGTTAATKATTTCAATAGAAGTTTGACATGTGATAAGAAAACTATTTTGCTTGTAAACTCCAACTTCCAGCAATTAAATCTCTTCTGAGGGAAGCCATGGAACAGTTAACGTTTTCCATGTGCTTACTTGCAGCTTAAATGCCATTCTGGACTTTTTGCCCAAGCAGAGAAGGACAGGTCTGTTCTCAGCTACTCAGACTCAGGAGGTGGAGAACCTGGTGAGAGCAGGTCTGCGGAATCCCGTCCGCATCTCGGTCAAGGAGAAAGGAGTGGCAGCAAACAACACCCAGAAAACCCCAACACGCCTGGAGAACTACTACATGGTGTGAACCTCAGCTTCTTGTTCCCTCCCCTTTTTTCCCTGGTTTAATCAATATATTTTTATATCTTGTCCACTTTGTATCACATTAACAGAGGAGTCCGTCTTCTTACTTTTTTCTTTTGCATTGTTTAGATCTGCAAGGCAGATGAAAAGTTTAATCAGTTGGTGCATTTTCTTCGGCAGCACAAACAGGAAAAACATCTGGTCTTTTTCAGGTAATATTGTTTGTGTTCATTCTGAGAGCAGTTCAGTGTYTTATTCCTTAAATTCCAAAACTGTGCCCTGTGTTGCAAAGATCACAACTATTTTCAAAGTGATTGATTTTAAGAGCTGGTTTTTAGAATGTGGTTCCTAAAAAAAGATTAATCATWGCTTCGTGTCAGGATTGTATTATTAAGCAAAACATAGTTTTCATATGCATTTTTAAAGTAAGATATAGGTGATTATATATTAATGATGAAAACCATGTGCATGTTTTAAATACAAATAGTCAATGATGTGCATTTTTGAAAGATCCTGGAAACTTTAGCTTGACTGTCCAAACCAGATTAAAARTGCAGCATAACCTGTTGCTTTTWTGCCTGTGTTTATCACAACAGCACRTGTGCCTGTGTGGAATACTATGGGAAGGCTTTGGAATCCTTAATTAAACAAGTGAAAATAATGAGCATTCATGGGAAAATGAAGCACAAGCGTAACAAGATTTTTACCGAGTTTCGGAAGCTCCCAGGGTAAGAACATGGAAATGAGGTCAAAATAGTGACGGGGAGGTGACTTTGACTGTTCTTCTGCTACTTAAGTGTGGAAGGATGGCTCAGGTGAAAGATGCTGCAGGCTGGTTCTGAGTGTATTGATAAAATCACAAATTGTGCTGAGGTAACCAAAGAATGACCACAAACAAAGTGAAAATGTGACTGGAGCATCTCCATCCTGTTTTACATGGTTCATGTGGCAGCAGAGGAGGTGAGCACACTGCACTGTCACATGCTATAACCACACATGAGCCCTGATGTTTCAATAAACTGGTCACAAAAAAAACCTTTTCCTGATTGGCAACCAGAGTGGAAACGCAGGATATTTCTTTATTAATGTATGAATGAGAATATGGCAACACAGTGCTGTAACTTAACCCACAGGGAAACGTTCTTTGGCAGCTTTGCAGGATGTTGTTAAGAAACTCTTGCCTCATTAACTGTCATTTTTTTTTAATTGCATGGGACCTGAGTTTTAGCTTTTTATATTATGAGAGAAATAATTAACAGCAGATTGTAAGAACAGCTGGTTAAAAGAACGGAATGCTAAAATTGCCACTCTCTTACGTCTTTTATTTAAACATTTATTATGGTACATTCAGCTGTGGTGGATGCAGTGCTGATTTAAAATGTGATTTTGTGATAGGGAATTGATTTGTCTTAGAAATGTAATACAAGTCACAATAATTTTCATARTGTTAAGTAGAATTTCAGTTGGAGAAAGCTGCAATTACTTTATATTTTGTCTCTTAAAAAAACCCAAATGTTTTAAAATGTTCTGTTCCTCAGCCTCCAGTGAAGATGCAGAACACACAGCTGTGGGGAGYTGTCTCTCCTCAAATGACAGGTGAATGAAAATACACCTTTTCTTCTTCCTAGGGGCATTTTGGTGTGCACAGATGTGATGGCCCGTGGCATTGACATCCCAGAAGTGCACTGGGTGCTGCAGTAYGACCCACCCAGCAGTGCCAGGTACAGCTGCAGATCCTGAGAACCTTTTCTTTCTGTGTGCTCCTGCTACTGTGCTGTTCAGATATAAATTAGGAACACTAAACTGCATAAAACACATTTCATCACTTCCTGGAAGTTAATCTGAGAGAACACACCAAATGATGCAGGAACAARGGAGGGTTTTGTTGTCACTGCTGTGATTTGAAATGACTTTGTGTTGGGTGTGTGTCATTGAGGAGGGTGATTGCCACTTCCATCAGGGGTAAGACTTTGTGTGAAAACATCAGAGAAAGAGTGAGAGGGGACACTGGGGTGAAGGGGGGCAGAGATGACAGCAAGGACAGAGTTCTTCAAGGAATGGTACATTGAAAACTCACAGGAAGGGAACTTTTCCATGTATTTTAACTTTTACTGCCTTGCTTTAGCTTAACAATGAGTGTGACTGCCACGTGTCTCTCATATTCCATTTGCTAATTCCTGTTGGTTTAGTTAAAAGCACGTAGAAAGCCGTATTTTCTATCCTACAAGATTTACCCTTTTGCTGCCAAATGTTCCCAAATCAGACTGGGCTCTCTCTGGGTTGGGTCCTTTCAGTGCCTTTGTGCATCGGTGTGGTCGGACAGCGCGGATTGGCAATGTGGGCAGTGCACTTGTGTTTTTGCTTCCCATGGAAGAATCCTACATTAACTTTCTCTCAATCAACCAAAAGGTGAGTAGAGAGCAAGGGCACAGACTTGCTGATGGGAGCTTTGCAATCAGAATTTGTGGAATTTGAGGTCATACTCATGGGTGATATTTTRGCAGAGGTGCAGAATTAAAAGATGACAAGAGCTGCTTATTAATCACCAAATACAGCTGTCTTTTGGAACATGATTGTTCCAGTGTTACCTRCTGAATTTGGAAGAGGAACATGTGATGCAATGAGTAAGGAAAGGCATTTTGTTCCTAAGGGTGTAAATTTGAGCCTTTGTAGAAGGGCACCCCTGGGCACCCTGGCTTACAGTCCTGGCCCAGGCCTGCCACCACCAGCTCACACACTGCAGCCTCTCAGCTTTTCACTTACAACTCCTGCAATTTCCTGTGCCTGCTCCTGCATTTGTTGGATTAATTGTATGAATTCTCTAGAMCTCCTAATGAGACCAGAGCTTGATAAAGCAAGAGATGAAGATGTTGCCTCTCTGGAGCTGCAGTGTGAGGACTCTTCTGCTGGGCCAGGACAGCTGTTATATGGGCTGGTGGTCAGCTCATGTGTTGGAATGACCAAAGAGAGAGGAGCTCAAAGCTGACTGAGGATTAACTCAACAAGAAGTATTTGTTTGAGGTTTCACAGTGCATCTCACATCATTTGGCTGAACTTTTCCTTTTGTTTTGTTTATTTTCTGGTTCCCAGTGTCCCATGCAGGAAATGAAACCRCAGACAAATGTGTTGGATCTTCTTCCCAAGCTGAAATCCATGGCCCTGGCWGACAGGGCAATGTTTGAGAAAGGCATGAAAGCCTTTGTGTCTTACATCCAGGCTTATGCCAAACATGAATGCAATCTCATCTTCCGGATAAAAGGTAATTCCCAGCAGGGCTGGCACCTCTTACTGTTTCTTCTGATAACAAAACCATAGCAGTGTTGTCCACAAGCTTCAACCACTGATTCTTGATCTCAAATTGACTTTCTGCAGCATCAGATTTTGACAAAACTCATATTTTTTTCCAAGCAACTTGTTYCAAGAGAAAACATTTAATTATAGAGCTTTCCAAACTGATACAAGAATAAATAAAAGTGTCTTGGTATTGTTGCTGATATTAAGGTATAGAATGCAAACAATACACTAAAATAATGTTAGCTTTTATTTTCTTTCTCAGTTAAACTAATTTTTTATCCAGCAGGAAATTGACTTTATAATCTTTGTTTCAACAGATCTGGATTTTGCCAGTCTTGCCAGAGGTTTTGCATTGTTAAAAATGCCAAAGATGCCTGAACTAAGAGGAAAATGTTTTCCAGACTTTACTCCAGTCGCTGTTAATACAGACTCCATTTCATTTAAGGATAAAAATAGAGAAAAGCAGAGACAAAAGAAATTAGAACAACAAAGGAAAGAAAGAGAAGAAAATGAGGGTAAAAAGAAATTCATAAAGAACAAAGCATGGTCAAAACAGAAAGCCAAGAGGGAGAAGAAAAAGAAAGTAACAGCTAAAAGAAAGCGTGAAGAGGTAACTGTGTCTATTCCCTTAACCTGCAAGTGATTATGTACTCCTTCCATTGGCAGAGAGCCCTGGGATTTTAATGGGTGAAACTGATGGCTGCAAAAATAACATTCTATAGGACTTTGACAAGCAAAGCTTAAAAAATTTCTAGAGGTTTTTAAAGCCAAACATTAAAACAASTTCTCAGTGCTGATGCTGGTCAGCAGTAAGATTTTTATTTCTCAAATATGCAGAAGTATGGCCTGAGGGTGCTTTTGTCACTTTTCAGCAAGCACAGCTCAGAGTTACAGTTTCCTAGGTAGGAACTGAGTATTATTTCCTGCTTTGATTATTCCTGGCAAATTCTGACTTTTAATCTTCTCTTGTGTTCAACTGTATAGAATGAAAACCTTTTGGTGTTGTGTTTAATTTGTTGTTTTTAACTTCCAACAGGGCTCTGATATTGAAGATGAGGATATGGAAGAATTGCTGAATGACACAAGACTCTTGAAAAGATTAAAAAAAGGAAAAATCAGTGAAGAAGAGTTTGAGAAGAAACTAACAGGCGGCCAAAGGTTCAAAGCAGAAACTGTTGAAGACATAGAGTCTGAAGGCTGACAGTTACTCTAACCATATTTTTATATTMAAACAYTGCTTWTTTTAATAAACCTGGATTTCTATGRAAAAATGATACAGATAACAGAATTTCCTTGATAGACCTGGCATCCCCAAAGACACAGAGCCTGCAGTGGAGAACAAAGCTAAAAGCACCACTCTGGTATGGCAGRAGCTGCAGGTTTCCATCAGCAGACTTGTCAAGTTTTAATTTTGTTTTTTTCAAGTACAGACCACAGCTCAGTAACAGCACACCTCAGAATGAGTCTGGATACACCATAAGGTATTTTATTTTACTGTATCAAAATACTCCACCCCTCTTTAAAATAATTTACTTGCGGCCTTTAGAAGCCATAATAGCTTTTGGAATTTTTAAAATTGTGGTCCATAATGATCTTAATCATTATAATGTCGTTTCTTTGCCATGTTCATGCATCATCTTCCCAGTTCTTACAATCCTGATAGTCACTGAAGATGATACCCTGTGCAGGAGTCTCTGATTACAGGTAGAGTTTAATGAGTTCATCACTGACAGCTGAAGGTGTCAACACACCGAGGTCTGTGAACAGCAGYGTGATCAGTGATGGGGAGGTGTAGTCAATCCAAGGGTGCTCCTCTGTGAGATTCTGACCTGTTTTCAGAGTGTCTGCTTTGTACTAGAAGGAAACAGAAATCATTGGTTATTACACAACTGCAAGTTAAATCCTCTTTTGGGCAAGTGCTACCGCCTCAAGCAGATGTTTGTGGTAAAACTGAAGGATGTCAAGTGCATAGACTGGTGCCACCTTGGTCTCAGCTGTTTTATCTTGTGTAAAAAGTACAATTTGTAATTCTGGAATTTATTGGTTTAACTGTTTCTTACCTTCAGCTGCTCCTGTGCCCCAAAACAACTGCTTTAGGACAGAGTATTTGTACCAAGACAAATTATGGCTGTTTGGTGCCTGACTGTACCATGGAGCAACCCCATAATATGCCACAGCAGAGATCCAGATAMACAGAGATGCTYAGAAGACAATTTTTCACAGACACAKCAGTGTGCACCTTAGCTGGGTAAAAATGAAAGTTGAATCTCTCTTACCTTAAACCTGTCAGGCACGTCCTGTTGATTTAGAGGGAAAAGTCTTACAAACTTGAAACTTTCTGCTACCACATAAAATGGCTTATTCTGGGCTTTGGCACACACAGCAATTTGATTGCTGCCAATCTGTGGAGACAGATGGGAAACAACATTGCAGACTCAGTGCTTGCRTGACAATATTGCCTAGCTGCCAACAATTACCAGACATTTACTGGATAACATCTAAATGGAAGAGACTTTTCAAAAGCCTCCAACACTTCAAAGAAACCAAACTTTTAAAGCCCAGTGTTTAACTCACAATTACCTTGTTGATAATGCCTCCACTTTCAACAACACCTTCRGCACCAACTAACACCAGGTCCACTTTCTCCATAATGTAGCTGGTAAAAGGGGGGAAAAAAAATCCAAGGCTTACTGGGTAATAGGACAAATGACTTGCTGAACAGAACAGAAATGAGTAATTCAAACAATCTTTCCACTTTCACACAGATCTAAAGAAAGCCATCAACTAAATAATTTGAATAGATTGAATGTGCTAAGAGGAACTTGTAGACTTGTCCAATTAATCCAGCACCTTCCCTAGATTTGAGGTACCTTGGAGGCAATCTTGGGCATTCTGAACTTACTGATGTTCAGATTTATTGTAATTCTTCTCTCATGTTTTGGACTCATACTATGTAGTGCTTATTTAGCAAATACTTTAAACCACAAAATGGTAACACTTAAACAAATTACGAAAAAAAATAGCCTCTTTGTGTAGCACCTTAGTTCCTTTATACAGCTGTGTAGAAGTTCTTAGGTCTGATTCTTTCATTCTAACATGCAAAATGAAATGYTTGTGCTGTAGCTGACACATTCTCCTAATTGTGCACCTAAAGGTGTGACTTGTTTAGCCTGTTTGGCTGTGACAAACCAAGCAAGAACCTCTGGAGTTTAAACAAGCTGGTTACATACAAGTCTATTTTGTCTTACTGTCAAAATTATGATGAAAAATATTAAAATTTATGAGCAGACTTACCCAACTGCAGCATCCAGAATCACAGTCACGGGAATGTTCAGCTTCCTCAGGGCTTTTGCCATTTTTTGCCTATTAAAGAAAATGTTGGACCTTAAAAATGTTTTCCTTAAAGACAAWCATAGGAAAGTATTGTCTGAAAGACTGAAACCTGTCACTGCCTCCATTCCCCTGGTGGTAGAACAGATAAGAATTTACTTAGAAATGGAAGGTATTGGTAGCGTGGGGTTGTGAGGTTTTACTGACATGTATTACACAGTGTGCAGGGATTATTCCATTTATGCAACAATATCTGCTCTGAAGTAATGATTYTATTTGTCATCTTAAAATGACATTGTTAGCTGTGTACTTTGCTGTGATTAGGGTAATACTGSTTATTTTAGCCTACTTCTTACAGAGACAATTATAAATCAGTTGTCTCCCATCTAACTGAAAAGTAGGTTGCTGGGTACTGACAGCAAGTCTGTAAACCTTTAAGGAAAATGTAGATAACACTAATTAAAATATTTAATATGGGAATTTAATTACCATTATTGTTTAGGGTTTTTTTAAAACCTGTCCAGAACAACATGATATTAAGTGACATTTGCCATTTAATATGCTCCAGCCAAGCCTAGCAGCTTTTCTAACAACAGGACAAGATGGATGGTAGCTGTAACTAACCCTGTSAACCAAGATAAAAACCAAATTAATGAGTACTTGCCCTGCTTGATCCGGCTGTGATTCAGTAACATAAACACTGAATCGCTTCTTGGACTCCACTGCTGCTTCCAACACCCTGAGGACCACCCTGGAGTAGGCATGTGTYAGGATTCGCTGCCAGGACAAACCAAATTCACACATTACTTCTGCTGAGCCTTARGAAACCTTTACATTTGTTAGTATTGTGCAGAACAACCTAGTGCAGAAACCACCATCAGACTCCCCTCCTGTTCCTCCCTCACCGCAAGGAGCAGCAAAACCGAACAGGAGTGACCCTGCCCCGGCCTACTCACAGCACCATCTCTGATGAAAGGGTGACACAGCTTGGCGATTTTATTCCTCGAGAGAGACACTTTCCTCAGGAAGATCTCCCCGCGCTCGATCATGATTTCTTTGCACTTGGAGTAGTCCTGGAAAAGAAAAAGAGCAGGATGCCCTTTGAGCGGCTGGAGGGTCCCGCAGGAGCGGGGCAGAGCGGGACAGTCCGTACCGAGTACTCCAGGGAGGTGAGGCTGATAAACCGCAGGAAGAGCTCCCCGCCGGAGGACACGGCCACCGAGGAGTCCACCCGGGACAGGGTGTCGATGGCGTCCCGCAGGCTGTTCCGCAGGCCCTGGATGGTTTCCCCTGCGGGGAGGCAGAGATAATAACGCGTGGTCACGGCCTCGGCCTGGGGACAGCCGGGGCTCCGCGGGGGGACCCGCGCCCACCTCGGTCCTGCTTGAGGAAGCCCAGCAGCGCGCGGATGGCAGCAACGGCCGAGGAGACATCGGGGTCGTCCCTCAGCTGCGCCCTGAACGTCTCGATCAAATCTGGAAAGCAACGGGGAGCGTCAGGCCCGGCCCGGCCGCTGCCGGAGCTGCCCCGCGCCCATCGCACCGTCCGTGCCCATCGCCGCCCCTCCGCTCCCGTTACCCTCCGTGCCCATCGCAGCCCCGTGTTACCGTCCGTGCTCATCGCCGCTCCGCTCCGCTCAGCTCAGCTCCGCTCCGCCCGCCGCGCCGGGGCGTGGCCACGGACGGKAACGGGGCGGGCCCGGATGACGAGCGCCGGGCCGGGCGTCATCTGTGAGCGCCGGAGCTGCGGCAGCCCGGACGGGGAGATGAGCACGGGTGAGCGGGACCGGGGCGCCACGGCGGGGTGTGGGGGTACCCGGCCGGGTGTGAGGGTACCCGGCGGGGTGTGGGGGTGCCCGGAGGGGCTCGGGCTCCTCGTGGGGAAGCAGAGGCCGTGAGTGGGGCTCCAGGGCTTTATCGGGGCTCTGGGGCTTTATCATGGCCCCGGGGTTTTATCGGGGCTCCAGGGCTTTATCGGGGCCCCGGGGCTTTATCATGGCCCCGGGGCTTTATCGGGGCTCCAGGGCTTTATCGGGGCCCCGGGGTTTTATCGGGGCTCCAGGGCTTTATCGGGGCTCCAGGGCACTATCGGGGCTCCGGGGCTTTATCGGGGCTCCGGGGCTTTATCGGGGCTTCGGGGTTTTATCGCGGCCCCGGGCGATCGCCGCTGCTCCGGCCCGGACTGACGCTGCTGTGTGCTCCCTTTGCAGATGATGAGCTGAGCCTGCTGGTCGTCATCCTCGACACCAACCCGATCTGGTGGGGGAAGAGAGCGCTGGGAGAGGCTGAGGTAYGGCCTCCGGGCGATGGGACTGCCAGTGGGCATTTCTGAGGGAAATTTTACCATTTTCTTTGACTTCTGAACTGTGCTAATGTTGTTTGCTAAAGCAGGTATAATGGGTATCATAATACCTTTYGAAATAGCATTTTATATTCATTAGAGCTTTTTTAACAGCAGAAACTGTTTCTGCATCTTCAAATTGAAGTTTTTTTAACTGCTGTCATTTCACAGATTTCTCCTGAATTGTTTCTGTGTGTTACTGTGCTACATCTGCTCTATTCTCTTTTCCAGCAGTTCACCCTATCGAAATGCATCGATGCAGTGATGGTGCTGGGAAACTCTCACCTACTCATGAATCGCACCAACAAACTCGCTGTGATAGCAAGTCACACACAGGAAAGGTAGARCTGCCTCTGGACAATGTAAAAATTTTGAGTTTCCTATATCTGTCTCCTGTTTTTCTTGTTTGATTGCAATAAACCAAGTTAGAAGTATGTAATATATCATTGTCTTAAGAAATTAGCTGAAACATTAAAAAATCTTAGTGCCTTACAAAGCAACAAAGAGGCTTATAAGACAGAAGAGAAGTTTAAATAGACTTAAAAATACACAGAGACAGAGAGAGAGAGAATTAATATGTGTGGAGTGGAACAATGCAAATGGTAGAAGTTCCCTGTTTAGGGGGTATTTTCCCTCCAGCTGTTTGTCTCAGGATCCACCCCAAGTGCAGCCATGGTACCTCTGCCAGTTCTCTTAAGAGATGTTTTGAAAGGAGGGAGCTTGATGTGAGTTTTACTCCAGTTTGAGTTGAAGTTCGCCTGCCTTACGTAGTCTCTTTAAAGTCTTAAAAGGATTTTAAATTAAACTTCAGAGTATTGCTATCTACAGCTGATTCATGTGTAGCATTTTTTCTTACAAGATTAAAGACAAAACCTSAATACTTTGTTTTTCCTCTGTTTCAGCCGTTTCCTGTACCCYGGGAAGCGTTGGGCTGCTGCAGATCCCTTTGGAGAGGGAGGCCCTTCCATGGAGTCTAATTGCTCTGGCAGCAAGGATGGGAAATATGAATTATTAACAGCAATAAATGATGCAATTGCAGAAGAGATTAAAGACCTCATGACAAAGAGTAAGGGGAAGAAAATTCTAGGCTTAATATGCAGAATTGCAAAACACTTGGACTGTCAAGGACTTGTAGAAATGTGTTCTATTTTCATCATGTGCATTTTAATATGCTCAGAGTAGATGAGTTTATTATGTTTGACACTTCAGGCCTCAGCATTAGTATTATCTGCCAAAGATAAAAATGTGTAGAATTTTGTATTGTCAGGTTCAGTAGCTGTTTTTATATATAAAAGTAACTTCTGCAACTTTTCTTGTATTGCAGCTGACATGAAAGGSCAGCAAACAGAAACCCTGTTGGCAGGATCACTTGCTAAAGCACTTTGTTGTATCCTTTTGATCACAGAATCTTCAAAGCCTTTATGTCTTCTTAAGACTGTTTCTTATAATACTAATTTTTACTATTCTTGTTCTTTTATAATACTTAAAACTGAAACATTTGCCTAATATCTGTGACCCGTGCTTATTAAAATGTGTGTTGGCCAACGTGGTGAATATGTGGTGTGGATCATGGAGTTATTTCCAAGAATATTTCCAAGAACGTAGATTCCTTAATGCCCGCTAATGTAGACATCAACAAGATGGGCAAAGACCTCAAAGGTAACACCTCTTCTACTGTTTTCAATCCTTGCATAAATATTTTATATTTACTTACTTATTTATACCTGAATAACAGGTATAAGTGCACATGTACGCACAAATAAAGATGAATATTTTGACACACCCCCATTTCCAAAATTGGCATTAATAGGTAGAAGTTTATTCTGATCATCTGAAGTTGCCAAGTTTAAACAAGTGAAAGGACTTGATCATTAGTCCACGTTCTTAGAGAGATTTTCTGTTGTGTGGTAATAAAGCTGTGACTSGAATTTCCTTGAAATAACTGGAGGTTGAAAGGAATTAGTCCATGGATAATTGTCACTGGACTGTAAATAGTTTCTTTATCTAACAKCCAAGATATTCTGAGGTGTCAGATGCTACAGAATTAAAAGGGTGATACAAACCATGTGCTGATGCATTTCTCTTTCTTTTTAATACTTAGCCAATCAAGAACTTAAATCAAGGATTCTGGTAAGAACTTTTGTTGTCAGTTTTCTTTTAGTCTTGAAATCCAGTGATGCATGTAGGCTAACAAGTTTGAGTTGTTTTATTTAGGTCATAAAAGCTGCAGAAGACAGCGCATTGCAATATATGAATTTCATGAATGTCATCTTCGCAGCACAGAAACAGGTAAAGCTGGCATTTTAAAAATTTCTATTATCTTTTATTTATGTGCTAAGATAACACAGTTAATTTCTCTTATGATTACATAATTTCTGSTGCATTTATAGTGGAATCAAGTTATGACAGTAACACTGACAGGATTATTTTAGTCCGGGCTGAGTTTTGTTTTTCATACATTTCTTCTCTTTTGCAGAGTATTTTGATTGATGCTTGTGTCTTGGACACTGATTCAGGTCTTCTACAGCAGGTACAGGCTTCCTGTTCTTATTTCCCATTAGTATTAGCTCATGAATACTTGATGTTAGACAGTTCAACATGTTCTTCAGTTCTTTTCTTCCCTTTAATCAAGAGTGGGTRTGGAAATATGTTCAGTGGATCTGACAGTTCCAACATGCAGGCCTTGTGCAGTACATGGATATTTTAAATGTTAATGTCAAAAACAAACAATCTGATCATTCTCTCTGCTTTGCAGGCCTGTGACATTACTGGTGGCATATATTTGAAAGTGCCCCACATGCCATCCCTTCTGCAATATTTGTTGGTAAGTCATTTAAAAAACATTCCAGTGTTTTKCCTGTGTCAGATGTGAAATATTACTCCCTTCACTGACGAGGTAATACAGGAATACCAGTCCAATTCACAAAATATTTTTCTCTATCCATGCAGTGGGTTTTTCTCCCTGATCAAGAGCAGAGATCACAGCTCGTCCTTCCCCCTCCTGTTCATGTKGACTACAGAGCTGCCTGCTTCTGTCATCGGAACCTCATTGAAATYGGCTACGTGTGCTCTGTGTGCTTGTCAAGTAAGTTTATAAATATTTAACAGTTTGTTTTCTTACATCTGACTGACCTGTTTTAGTGAAAGCCAATTCTTTGATCTTTCAGTATTCTGCAACTTCAGTCCTATTTGCAGTACCTGCGAGTAAGTGTTTATTCTTTGTATTTCMAGGGTGGGTGTGGGAGTATGTTCAGTGTATCTGACAGTTCCTTTTCCATGTTTTTTTCCAGGACTGCTTTCAAAATATCRTTGCCACCTGTCATGAAAGCAAAGAAGAAGAAATTAAAGGTAGCTGCATAGCAACATTATGTAAATACATCATTACCTCCTCCATAATTCCATGAAATTGAACCTACTTGAGAAACTGATAGCACTTTTCATTGGATATGAAAGAGAACTGTATGCAGTGCTATTATTTGTTTCTTAGGGGATAAATATTTAAAATGTRTGTCTTCTATGCATCCTGTTAAGTAACAAATCACTGTATTACCATGTAATCTGTGCTGTTTTAAATACTAATTCCTAATTGTAAGAGGAACCAGAAGTTGCAGCCTGTGAATACCTGAGGGTACTCTGGCCACTGCACAGTTTCACATCTCCTGGTTATTTTTAAAGTCAAGAAAGCTTTGATTCTTTCTAAATGTTGATGTAAAGTTAAGAATGACTATTTGTAGTGTGTAGGATCAGAATCATATCACTCTGTTGTTCAGGGACTTCAACTTCTTGCTAGYRGTTTTTGGACTGAAACAGCATCAGTTTCAAAGTAAATGAGCCAACATTTTCAAGATGGTTTGTGAGCCACTTGGAAAAAAAAATGGTGCTAATTGCCCTGCAARTGCACTCACATGTATTCATATTCCTGTGACTGTACTGTCCTTGAGGTAGTTCTTTTTCAGTTTGATATCTCTTCATTTGTGARTAAAAAGGCCTCCCTTTCTTTAAAGTAACATCAGTAAATGCAGACTAACTGGTTAGTCTTCAACGTTTTATTTCGAAACTGGAAAAGGTGTAATTGTAATGTGATAACAGGCACACTTTTTATTTTTAATATGTGGGTTTCCATCTGACATTTGACAAGAACAAAGGTTTTTGGATTGGTGTTTTGGACAGGAAGGTCTGCWGTGTACTTCCAWATGTGGCTTTCATTTAAACAAAYRAAACATCTCCCCTTCTAAAAAGAGCTGTATAATTTGGTKGTTATTGCTAATAACGGCTGTTCTCCCAAAAGGAACAGAGAGGAGTTGTTTTCCACATAGAAAACGAGTTATTTTTACCTTCCCAGTGTGTATGGAGGAATTTGTAATGTCTTGATGTTTGCATCAGGTTTTGTCACTGTAATAACTGCAGTGCCAGTTTTTTCCAGGTTTGCCAACATAACAAGGTGAGCTTTTTTTTCATTTCCTAAAAGCCATTTTGCGTGAAGGCTGTATTTATAATTTACTTTGTATAAAACTTTTATAATAAAAACYGTTCCTTTTTCTAACGTGCTCAGATACTTCTTTGATATTTAAGGGTGAGTTACGTGATTTTGTTGGAGTCCACATGCTCAGTTTCTCTAGTTTGGGGATTTCTTGGGTCACCGCTCTCCTTACCARAATTACCTTTTACCTGTTTGGATCTGATTTCAGCACAATTACTCAGTTGGTTTTATTAGTTTCTTCCGTATCTTGGAAGCCCAGCCAGACGTTCTGGTTGCCTATAAATCCTGCATTTTTTCGTGTTCCTTTTTAACAGTACCTCCCTCTTCTGAACAATGCTGATTCCCTCCTCTGCATCTGAGAGCCCGAAACTTTAACTTATTTTTCTAAAACACCTAAAGCTTGTTTATTAGCATTGTTATTTTGTGACAGGCCCAGGGTGCGGAGCTGCCCCGCCGCCACCATCGCTCCCCGGTCCGCCTTGCCGTGAGGGGGCGCCATTTCCCGCCCTTTCCGTGAGGCGGCTTCCCGCCCTCCCCGTTGCCATGGCGCCGTTCCCCGCCCTCCCCGTTGCCATGGCGCCGTTTCCCGCCCTCCCCGTTGCCATGGCGCCGTTTCCCGCCCTCCCCGTTGCCATGGCGCCGTTTCCCGCCCTCCCCGTTGCCATGGCGCCGCGCTGGCGCTGCAAGATGGCGGCGGGGCCGCCGCCGTAGCGCGATGGGGGCYGTCGGCTTCGGGGCGCTGCTGCTGYTGCTGCTGCTGCTGCGGGCGGCTCCCTGCCCCGGGCAGCCGCCCGGGGATGCCGGTGAGTCAGGGCGTGAGGGGCCGCGGTGAATGGCGGCCTCCGGGGGTGTGGGGATGGTGGTCGGCCCGCGGCGGGATCTGCTCGGGTGGCGTGAGGGGAGGCGGCGGAGACTCTGAGCGTTCCTCAAGGCAAGGGYTCGAGTGCCTCTGCCTAAACCCAAACGTGCTCGCCCTGGAGTTTCTGCTGCTGCTCAGCACAGGGAGGACTCGGAGGGAGAGGGGGGAGCTGCTTATGTTGGACCTTGCAAACTTGGCAAAGTTTTAGAAAGAAAAATCCAATGAAACTCTCAGCTCGGAGCCCTAAACTTGGCCTGAAGGCAGGAGCCCTCAGTTCCTGGATTGTAGGTAGTGAGGTATCCCCGGCCCAATTCATGGCCCCAAGAAATTAAAAACTGTAAGCTGAAGTCGGCAAAAAATGCTAAATATGGTGTTGCCTGAGCTGTGTAGTATCTGCATGGGCTGTAAGCGCTATAATGTTATTTTACTGCCTGTTTACTGGGCATCTTCACAAAGATGGGATATAAAGCTACACCCTCAACACTTGGCAAGAATGTAAATACCACCCTGTACATGGCATTACATGATACTTTTCTTCTATTTGTGACAATTTAAAGTTGTAAGAGTGTAAGAATGTAGCCCAAGCATCAGATTTATATGTCTTACAGATGTTACCTTTTTCAGTCAACTTATTTCTTTCTCTTTCTTTCAGTCTTTCAGCCTTCGTTTATTCATATGTCAGGGCCCAGAGTCAACTCGTTTTTTCTTGGCAATTCTTYRGGAGTTAATTTTTCTRTAATTTTAAGTCCTAGAGATGAGGRGACAGGTAAGAACACTTCAACCCCCTCCCCCCATGTAAATAAGTACATTTGTATTGTTAATATTCTTTGACACAAAAATTACTAGAGAAATGATAATGCATGTAATTTAGRGCTTTAATAGTTACTGAAACAGGAWTTTCAGAGGACTTCTGATTAAGCACTTAGTTCTCAGTTGCTCCTTGTCAGCTGGGCATGAGGGTGTACCTTCTTATTTTCCAATCTTCTCTAAGCAGTGGAATACCTTTGAAATTTTTATTTTGTTACAGGAAAGTTGCAGCTTGCAAACTGTAGTGGAAGTAGAAGAGCTGGAGATTGGAATTTGGATGTGACACCTGGTGTGGTACGTAAAATACTGATTCTTCTGTTATTCCACTCCATTCCAGCTTCTCTCTCAGAAGCTGATGAATGGTATAGACAACAGCAATTTAATACAAGCCATCAGAGCTGTCAAACTGTATTTTGTGTTTTTTCCAGAGTATTTCCAAGGTGACTGTAAGCCTGASCAGAGCCCTGGAGCTGTGTTTGCCCAATGCCACCGAGTGCTGCCCCTCACCTCTGTGCATGCTGGAAACACTCCAGGTTTTAGCTTGCCATGGTTCWGTGATGCTGGCACAGCTTCTGATTCAGGCTGAAATATTTGCCAACTCTTCCTTTTCAGGAAATGTGTCAGGTGAGTGCTAAAGAAGAAATGGCATYTGGACTGTTCTTTTCTTTTCTTCCCTGTATGGCAAAATCGGGATTTGGGCAGCAATAAGAGATACTGAATAATCATAAATGGAATTTAAACAAAGGTTTCTACACAGAATAAACTGCAGTGTGCGTGGTCTGTTTATCTGGATTTCAGTCCACTTAATCTGATTTTCTCTTCTTCTACTTCTGTTACAGAAAATGCAACTATCATCCCAAACCAGGCATATAAACCCTTGGGCTCTTGTCCTTGTAACTTAACAGCAGGAGCTTGTGATGTTCGGTGTTGCTGTGATCTGGTACTTATTTCTTATTAAACTTTGATTAAATGTTTTCAAAGTTTCTAGACTGTTTCATGTGGGGAGAGGTACTGAATATTTCAGACCAGCTAGGCCAGAGGGTGTGTTTGGATATTCCAGTATTTCTAAAAGTAAATACAATCTCTATTCAAAGTTGTTTGATTTACCTGTGAGTTTGACTTTATAGTGCCATAAATATTGCGATTGCCACGCTAAAAAGTGACCATTCTTTCCCCTTTCAGGAGTGCACACCAGACTTGCAGCAGCTATTCAGTGGATCATGTTTCACTGGAGTTTTTGGTGGAGATGTAAACCCACCTTTTGATCAGCTGTGCTCTTCCCAGTCCATGGAATACATCCCTGAGTGGTTTCCCTTCCTTTGTGTGCATTCTYCTCTTGACAACACACCATTTCTTGGCTACTTTTATCATGGCTCTACGTAAGTCTTGAAAAAACTTATTTTCTCAACACACTCATCATGCAACCAAAAATATAACCTGTCTTTGTAATGGAAGTTACTTAGAAATTAGGATTTTAGGGTGTGAGCTTTAAATGCAAATAGAGAAATGTCATTGGTAATACATGAGAACAGGGGGCAGGAAAGCAAACATAATTATTCATGTGAGGTAAAGAGTAAAGCACTGTTTAATTTTTAAACTTTTTTGCAGTTCCACACCCAAAGTTCCTTCATTTAAGATCCCTCTGCAAACTTCTCCTGGGAAACCTTTCACTGGTTACAGCAAAGGGGATCCAATTATAACAGAAGAAGATGAGTATTTTACTGTTCCCCAGGTAATCACTTTGTGTTTATGAACCTTTGATTCCTCTTGGTTTGTTTGAAACTCCTTATATCACACTCCTTGTGGCTTTGCATCCAATTTCAGCTGCTTGATGTTGGGAAGTGGTGGGGTGTATTTTTCCCCAAAAAACCCTTCAACCAACCAATCAAAAAACCCAAAACCACAAAAACATTATCCTTCCTCATCCCCTTGCCCATCCTCCCAAAAGGTAATGCATTTTGAGACACATGTAGGCTCACAAACAAAGATGAAGTCATAGTGTATGTTGAACCTACTTTTAAAGCTTTTAAAATTTTAAGCCCTCTTTTGCTGTAGACTGAGACTTTTTGATAACATCAGATAACTTGCTTGTCAAAGTGCTATGTATGGCTGTAGTGCACACATTGGGGCATTTCACTAATAAACAWCCTTCAAATGAAAAGCAAGGCACTAGAAAATCCTTATTTCTGTCACCCACCTGCAGCAATCCCTGGCTGGACAGTGTGTTGGGAATGCTCCTGTAGCCTACCTCCACAATTTTGATGTCAAGTGCCTGACCAGTCTGCAGTCTTACAAGGAAGGCCTGCCCCACAACGTGAGGATAAACACTGGCACTGCAGGTATGCTGCAGAAATCCAGACAGGAATGTGTTTCATGTTTCTCAGAGCTGCTGGAGCGGAACAAACCCGAGGGCTGTTGGCACAGTAGCTAAATGTGACATCTGTATTATCTGGTGGCTGTAGTTCAGAATTTGGGGATGTTCTGTTCCTGTTTCTTTTGAACTTCTAGTAAGCCTCCCTCTGTTTTCCAAGATTTAGGTGGTGAGGAGTAGTGGGATTGGCCTTTGTTTCYCATTTACCTGTTCCTGGTGACTCCTAATGGTTCTGAACAGCATCACTCCCACTGCCCATTTTCAGACTGTTGCAGAGCCCTTTTTCTGTCAGGAGGGTGCAGCATCAGCAYTTTAGAGTCAGWGAGAAGGGGTTRCTCTCTGCATAACAAAAGCATGTAYTTATGAACAATCATTCTGGAGTTTGAGATAATGTAATTATCAGCATGAAGATATTTTATGTTCCATAATTGTCTCATTTTGTTAGTCTGTATTACCTCTGTAAGACCCARARATAATYAGCTATGCTTTCCTAAACATATACRTAAACAGTCTGGGCCTTTACCAAAATTAATTTTCTAAATAATTTTCAACTCAATTTTCATAGCARCAAATATTGCACCTTGGATGTGAAAACAAAAGTCTTTATTTGTTTTTCATTCTCAGACTTTATCCAACAAAATGTTGTCTATAGAACCATCACAGACAGGGGCAAATTCATCACTGAAAGTGGTATGTCTCTTCCTTTTAATTAATATTTCTTCCTTAACCTAGATTGTATATGAAATAGATTATTTTGATGTCTAAAATGTTTACCTGCTGCAATTCTTAGAAGTCTTGTACTATTTCTAGCACTGAAAAAGTAAACTGGCTTCCTGCAAAGCAGGAAGTGTTTAATTTACTCCAGTTCATTACAGTTGGTCAAGAAATCAGGTTYCTTATCTTGCACACTTGGGGGATTGCACTATTGCACATTTAAACAGTAGATGAATGTGGTAATTTCCAGAATTTTGCCAGAGTTTTAATGTGTTCTTTCCTACAGCAACAGTAACAGAGCTTCCTAATTA